CTGAAATTCCACATCATCATCAACACAAAGGAAGGCGAATGTGGTACTGTTTGGAGAAGCACTTCCGCCTCTGGCTCTGGCAACGTGGCTTTGCTGGCATCCGGAGTCCAGATCTTCCTTGGTTTCGTCTTCACATGTCGCCTTTAACGAAGCTGTCGGTTTGGGGCGTTTCACCCTCTGGCTTTGAGCTTTTCTCGCTCCGATCTTCGGGCGAAGCTATGCAGAAGGATGCTTTATGTGGTGGAACTGGTTTTCTTGAGCCAAACGGGCCCCAAGTCCCTGTGCACCGAAAACATCACCTCGACGGAGCTCCAGGGCTTTTGAAGCTGCCCGCGACTGCGACCTTCTTATGTGCATCGGCAGCACCTTGTCGGTCTATCCCGCCTGGAGCTGAGGCTTGGAGCAGCGTTCGGATGTGTGATGACACCTAAAGTGCTGACGAACTTTCGGTAGCTTCGGATTCGTTTTGACGCTTTCGACGTGTGGCGGACCGCTCGTCTGCTGCTACACTCCAATTGCAGGTTTCGGACTCGAATTGCCTGTACCGCAGCTGTAGCATGAGCCGCACAACCAAATGACCGAGGTTGCTGCCATGGTTCCTGAAGCCAAAGAGTGCGGTGCCAAATTGCTGCGCCTTTGCCTGCAAATCTAAGTCCTGGGTCCTCTAGGTCTCTAGGTCAGGCTGTGGAGTTCGCATGCATGACGGTGTACACATTCCAGGATCTTGAACCAGGGCCCAACGGAGTTCGACGAACTTGCCGACATACGTCTTTCAGGCCGGACGGATCGACGTGTTCTCGAGGACTTTCCTGCTTGAATTTGTGAGGCTCGATCTCCAGCGTGCTTCCACAGATCTGCGGTTGCGACTCGAAGCTCTAATGGCAGACAAAAAGAGAGTTGGAAGAATTCAGATCCTCAGGGACACGAGCCAGCTTCGGTTTGCGAGTTTGCATTCGTTGCTTCTGTCATGACGCCTCGACAGGCGACGCTTAGCATCGACACAGACCTTCAGAGAAACAACAGCAGCCCCTCGAGTAACCTGGCTTCCTGGAGATGACGTGCATGTTGCTACTTGTGGTGCCTTGTTGCACTGTTCGCAAGCTCAGGCAACAGCAGTGTGGCAAGCGGCAACAGCTCGAGCACACTTAGCTCTGCTGCCCCAAGTTCCAGCAATACTTCCAGCCGTGAGCTTATGTTTCGATGCGTTGCTGTGCCGTGGACGCATGGCAGCCTGCTAGGTCGATGTGCCCGGACTGCACCGAGGCCTGCAAGACGTGCTCAACAACGGCCTTGTGGAGGGGAGCTCAGAGCCCACTGCAGGGACTTCTTCAGGGGTTCCTTCGACTCTCTTAGAGCACCCTGCTTCTCGTTCCAAGGGACGCTTAGCATCATGGAACAACGATAGATCATGTTTCCAACGGAGCCGCAACACGGCAAGGTCGTTCAGTCAGCTTGACAGGGCTCGTAGTGCATAACGCCAGCAGCTCTTCAGTTGCAGAAGTATCGCCTGGTGCCTGAGTAGTTGCGAGTCTGGCGTCTCCAAGCATCGTACCAGTACCTCACTTAGAAGCTAGGCGGTTAGTATTGGGAGAGTACATGACTACTGGGTCGTTCCTGCGACTTCCAGGGTCAATGTTCCAGGACTTTGCTCCTCATGGCGTTCCTGACTCTTTTCTTGCTACGAAAGAGTCTCCATTGCATAGCCCCCAAACATAGTTGAAAGCAGCAAGGGTGTCCCTGCAGCGAGGCAAGCCGCTTGAGGGCAGGCGACCTTTGGGAAAAAACCGCAAGCCCAAAATTTCGAGGCCCTGAAGATAGCGCTTGTTCAGAAGAGTCTCCCTGTTCCGTCCCTGCCGAGGATGGCAAAATCAGCACACTGTACTGGGCGGAGATTGACAGGACCATTGCAGCCGCAGGTGCCCGCTTGCCTGTTTGCTTGTGTCTGGTAAGGGGGTGCCTTCCCTGTCAGGGCAAGAACGACTCAGAACGACTCAACTCAATGCCAAAAGTGAGGCCTCGTCACGCCGCAGCCACCGTCGCTGAACGATCTTGGCCCGACTCCTACGCCGGACCCGCCGGGGCCTCGATTGCTCGTAGCGTCCAGGTTTCGAGGATGGCCACATGTCACCAACTAGGAATTGCGAAGTAGGTCATGGTTTTGCTCGGCTAGTTCAGGTACACATCCATCTTGGGTGTCCAGAAGACTGCCTCAAGCGCGGTCCAGAGCTGAGACAGTGGCCCTTCTTGGGCAGTCTGCAGGTCGTTCGCACCATGAACACGAGGTCAAAACCCAAACTTGAGACCTTTGTTATGCGAGAGCTTCCGAGTCTGTGCCGATCAGCTATACTCTTCAGACAAACATGTTGCTCATGACAATCATAGCATCAGCCGTCAGCCTAAATTATGTATCTTCACTGAGGATGATGCCACAGCCACACTGGCAAACTACGAGCTTGTCACGCCGCGCGAGTCTCAGATCTCTGCGTGTTCAGCTTTTGGCATTGTTTGAACCCTCATGTTGAAGCACAGAAGCCGTACTCCCCCAGCCCGCCTCAGCCTTTGGCTTTGACATTCGGGCTGCCGTTGCGGCTACCGTGGGAGGCCACCGCCTATCCCGCCTCACGCGCCGAGTGTGCCGAAGGCACGGAGCACGAAAGCCAATGCGCTCTTGAACCCAGAATCCGCCCGTATTCAAAGGCGAGCAGCAGGTGTTGACCGGACAGCTTCAAGTTCAAGCTGCACCTCACCCACCTCTCCTCCTTTGCTACAATGAAAACGCTTCCGTAGGCGCTTGCTCAAACTTGATTCCGCCGTGCCCCAGCAGGTGAGCGTCTTGCCCTACCAGATGACTCTGGGCGCAGAGGTTTTGCCACTCGCCCTGACTCTTGAAGGGTGGAATAAGGTAGGAAATTCGGATCAGTCTAGACTTGCAGCAAATGGTACGGATAGAATCCATCTGAGGTGGAAAGCCCACTCCAAGGTAAAGACCGGTGAACAGGATCTATAAATGGAGGTAAACAAAGGTAACAGAAAGGAAGCAAACACCTACAAAAACAGAAAAGTGCACTATCTGGACAAAATACAGGTATTCTGGATGCCTGTGCTTCATCTTTCTAACCTCTTTCTTGGCTTTTGCCTGTTAAATTCTTCGTCATCTCTTTTTGTAATCCTTCTTCGTGGTCCTCTCAGCCGCCTTTTGTCTTTGCCGCCTCATATTTTTCGGTTACATATGCTACGATTGCCCTCCTAACACTACACAAGTTGTCCTGAGGATTCATTTCCCTGCCAGTGCGCGTAGACTCGTTCCGCTGCCCAAAGTCTCTCAGGCGTGGAATGTCTGAGAAGGTCACGCCAGAGCCCTTGCCGGCGCAGGCCGTCCAAGTGACAAACAATTTGTTGCATCGGCACAGATAGGTTGGGCACAATCAGGGTGCTGTCTGGAGGAGTTGGTGGATGCATCTTTTGCCGCACAGTGTCGGACTTAAACACCGGGTACAGCCAGCGGGCGCATGCAGAGTGGTGCAGCTTTTTTTTTGAGTGTCATGGACTTTGTACTTTCCAACTTATCCCCTTCTGGGTCCGAAGCCGACAAGTGCAGTCTTTGAAGCGACACCTGGGTGAACCAAGCTAGATTGCCTGCTTAGGTGTCCGATGGTCATGCTTTCCAACGACGTCTTCGTCACGTCCAGTCCTCATGGCTGTCAGATCTCTCGCAGTGCCTTGTGGGTTTGTGTGTGGATCACAGACAACTTCGGACAAGGCCCCCTTGTGATCACGGAGATGGATTTGGAACATGGTCAGATCCTGCCAACACCAGGAACATCCTGAGGCCAGTTCAGCCTTCGTGCCTCAATCACTGACCGATTACCTGAAGTGTGGCAGCTTTGCAGATGACGTTTGTGTTTCGTGGCACCTGGCAGCTTCCCGTGTCGAGCAAGGATTGCGCCCAGGCGCGATACTCCAACAGGCTTTCCCTTTCACTTTCCTGGCCATGGCAAACGAGTCTCCCATCCGCTTCGCCTTCGCCTTTGGCATGGCCTCCGGGCACATTAACCCTTCCTTGCCGATTGCAAGGGCTCTGGTCAAGCTGGGACACGAGGCGGGGTAAGAGGGGCCGAGGCTGCCGAGGCTAAGCCCTTTTTCTTCTCCCCCCTGCTGCGTTTTGAGGTGCACTACCTGTCCCGAGAGCAGATGCGGGCGCCCATCGAGGACACCGGGGCGCACTTCACCAACGAGCTGGAAGAGTGCCCGGAGCTCTACGAAGGCTCGGATCAGGGACGTAAGAGATGATCTTGGGAGGGGGGTGTTCTTCCGCGTCTTCTCAGCGAGGCCGGAAGGAAGACCTCTTTGGTGCCACGGAAGCCCTGAAGCTGGAGCACGGCCTGGAGGAGGATCCCATGATTCTCTCCTGGGTCAAGTTGGCCCCAATCTCCCTGGAGCTGGGGCTGCCAGGGGTTCTGCGCTGGATGCAGCGCCTGCAGCCGCAAGTCCTGGTCTTCTGTCCTATGCTCAACAGGGATGCCTTCTTCGCCGCCAAGATTCTGGGCATTCCCCGCGTCCCACTTCTGACCACGGCCGGCCCAGGCAGCATGGTCTCCGTGATGAACCAGTTCCTCTCCTGGTCAGGGCTGTCGATGCCGGAGATCGTCGAACGCGCTCGGAAGTTCCCCGCCTCGGTCGAGGCGATGCGACGTCTTGCGGACATGGGCGTCAACTACGAGGCAGAGTTGGAGCTGAGTGCCAAGAGCCCCGGTGCAATCGGCTGCATGGTGCACAGCCCAATAACCATCGTGACCACCTGTGAAGACATGCAAGATCCGGTGCCGCCCGAGCTGGAAGCAGTCTATTCCTTGCAAGGCGCGAAATTTGTCTATGTCGGACCGCTCCTGGACCAGCAGGGTGCCCGGCGGGCCGCCGGCCACAAGTTCGCACATTCCGCGCACTCCGACTCCAGCGCAACTGACAAGGCACGAGATTCGCCGAAAGATGCTTTGGAGGAGCTGCGTGATGCCCGGGATGCGGGCCGATTGATTGTGCTGGCCAGCATGGGGACCGTGATCACTGGAGACAGTCCCGACTTCGGCTGGGCTGTCAAGCCTGTGGAGTCTCAGCGACAGGGACTCACAGGCAAGCAGTTGTGCCAGGCGGCCTGGAGTGGCGTCTTCGATGCTTTCGGTGCCAAAGAAGGAGACCTTCTAGAGAAGACCCCGTTGATCTTGGTGTCAGTGGGTCCGCAGAAAGATGCACTCGACAGCGTGAAGGTGCCTCCGAATGCCATCTGCAAGCCAGTCTTGCCACAGGTGGACCTTCTCAGAGCTGGCGTGGACGTCTTCTTGACGCATGCGGCTTGACTGTTGTGGATGTGATAGGGGTTTTTGTTGGGGGGGGTGGCGGAGAGCAGGTACTGTAGCGAGGTTTTCTCTTTGAAGAAGGCCTTGGGCCTCGCCTTTTTGACGCGAAGCCGAGGGGGGTCAGAACAGTTTCATGGAGTCCCTTGCGGCGGGAGTCCCGGTCGTGGTATGTCCCGGCTTCGCAGACCAGCCTGCCAACGCCCAGAAGGCTGCGGAGCTCCAAGTCGGGCTGCAGGTGACCCGGCCTGTCCCAGCCGAGGGCGAGGCTGGGAATCATGTCCTGCCGGGTGCAGATGCTTTTCATACAGGGGGGTGGAGGGCTTTTTTTGGGGGTTCTTTTCCCTGTTCCAGGAGGATGCTGCCACGGCTTCTTACACCACGTCCGTCGCGGAGGCCTTGCGCCGGGTACAGCAGGAGCCGGTCTTCCGCACAGCAGCCGCCGAGTGTGGCCGAAAGATCACCGAGGCGGGGGGCGTGCAGAGGACCGTGGACATCCTCCTCCAGACTGGAAGGGACGGAAGGGAGAGGCCGCTGCCGACCCTCCTCGCGAACACAGCCCCCACGAGCCACACCGTCAAGGAGTGCAGGGTGCAGGCCTGATAAAAAACTAATTCGATGTTGAGGGAAAGCAATTTTCTGCACAGAACTTTTCGCGTGCCGAGAGGGCATGCTGCTTCACACATGCTGGAGCATGAATTTGGCAAAGTTCCGATGGATCGACCAGCCGGCTTTGGCCAGCGGTCCTCACAGCTCGACTTTAGTACAGTGGCAGGCTTTCCTGCCAACATGCACGGAGCAGAAGATGCGCCACTGCCGTTCGAGCAGCCTCGTTTCGCTCTGGTGTGTAGAGCTCAGTGTCCCTCTCATGGGCTTGGTTCAGGTGGAAGCCCAATGACCGCGGAGGTGTCGACTACAACGTGGACTCAGTTGCTCGGCAGCATATAAATCAACATGAACCAGCGACGTTCAGCGAGGCAAACGTTTGGGCATCATCGCAAGGCTCTAGTGTAGCATCAGTTCCATGTAAATGATGGGCCGAAGAATATCACCGAAGAGGCCATCACCAAACGGATAGAAGCGCACCAGGCTGTGACAGGGCCCGGCAGCGTGAACTTTGCTGCGCAGCCCTGAGCTCGCGATGTGAGTTTGCTTTCGTGCTTGGGAAGACGGAAAGCTGGCAGACGGTGACGGAGAAGTTCACCTTGAACTCCAACACCTTCGCCTTGTCTGGAACCCGGGAGCCGGCAAGAACATAAGAGCATGTCCATTTGATGTTCGGCGACTCCAAAAGAGGTACAACTGCATGAACGTCATGCGCTACACCATCGAGGCCGGCCTCTCTGCCTCTAATAAGCTCTTTTCATGGTCCCGGCCTCTCTGTCAGGAGACCATCGTGAAGGTGGCGCACATGGCTCCGGCGGCCCAGTCCACGGCCTCGGACCACGACCTGGGCGAGGCCTGGGGAAGCCTAGCGGCTTGGCGGCTTAAAGCAGCTCGTCCCCTTTGCAGACGGCTCCGGCGGTCTTCTACCAGTACCTCATCAAGCCACTTGGCAACAGTTCAAGCAGGGGCGGCTCGGTAGGCTCTGTTCTCTGGTACAGTAGGGTCCGGGCCAAGAATGCCTTCTGCTTCTCAGGCATGCGAACGGTTCCTTGATGGCACAGACCTCTCAGTACCGTTTGCCGGAAACAGATGTCTGCGACCCAGAGACGAGTTTGCGAGCAGAATTTTCTTGCATCTTGTCCCGGTCGGCGGTGCTTCGAGATCAACTTCACGTCCTTCATTCCCGGCAGTTTGCAGACGGATGTCTTTGCAGTGTGCGACTCAGCTTTGGTCGTCCATGGAACCCGCGTTCTTTGGCATGCCGCTGGGCTATGCATGCACCTGGGCTATCCGCGTCCAGAGGAGCGAGGATGTGAGAGTAGAAAGCCAATCTCTTGGAGCGACTAGCATGCATCTTCCCAAAAACTTCACGCCACCACTGCCCAGCAGGAAAGCCCGACAACCAGCCGGCCTTCAAAGGTCTGTATGCTGTTCCGTTGCAATCTAAGAGGCTAAGGCCAACACCTTTGGCATTAGACTTCAAGGGAAGGAGGCACACCCAGTGGCCAACAATGGGCGTTTGATACTGCAACTGGGGGAGGATATGTGTAAGGGTGAGGGGCATGACAAACGAATGAAGTCTAATGAGACAGAGAACCGCAGAGACTGAGAGAGAGCGACAACGACAGACCGTCTCAAGCCATCAGCCGGTGCTCAGATGGCGAAGCGCCAGGGCCGCTGGGAGGGCACCGGATGGCGCGATTGCCGCACTCCTCAGAAGGTCCTTGGGCACTGTTCAGTTCTTTTACATGGAGGCTTGATTGCGGGCTTGAAGAGGAGTGATCAGAGCGCTTTGAAGCAGCTCATGTATGTCCGCCAGGGTTGGAACATTTCCTTCCCTGAGAAGAAGGGGGACAATTTGGTTGCCATCGCCACAGTGCAGGACAGCTGCACTTACTGGCACGACCGGATTAGCAGGCAAACGCAGAAGCAAGAAGCTGGTTCTGTGATTCATGACGCTGCGGAACACGGTGCAACCCTCCAGGATTTGCAGGTCGCTGCCTTGGCAGTCGTGGCGGGCTTAGCGAAGCACCGCAGAACAGCTGAGCAGAGTGGATGATTTGCGATCTTCACAGATTTTGCTGCTAGCCCTGCCTGCTGCCCAGTTGACCTTGCTCGCATGGCGGGAAGAGACCGTCGGCTCAGACGGATTTGAGCACGCAGGCAGGGAGTAATGTACAAAATCCCGACACAGAAATGCTCTTAGACGGCTTGCTTCAGCAGGCAGTCGTAGGAGAATGACTGTCAGGTTTTCTACCAATTCATCGCTGTAGCTGCATAAGAATGACAGTGACGAATCAACGGAGAAAAACGCCAGAAGAATAACAGCAATACTAAGAATCTTAGATTTCTTTGCTGTCACCACCGCTACTGTTGCTGCCTACTGCTGCTGAGGCTCCTTCCGCTACTACTGCTGCTAATACTGCTACTGCTGCTGCTACTACCACTCCTGCTGCTACTAATCTACTACTAGGCCTACTACGACTACTACGACTATTACTACTACTACTACTACTACTACTACTACTACTACTACCACTACGACTACTACTACTACTACTACCACTACGACGACGACTACTACTACTACTACTACCACTACTACTATGATTACTACTACTACTACTACTACTACTACTACTACTACCACCACGACGGCGACGACCTCCTCTGCTACTACTGCTACTGTTCCTGCGACTACGTCCACGACTGCGACTGCGACTATGACTACTGGTCCTGCGACGCTGCGGCTGCTGCTGCTGCTGCTGCTGCTGCTGCTGCTACCACACCTATCACACCAATACCACAACCACTACGACGGCGGCGGCGACCTCTGCTAGTACGATTTGTACTGCGATTTGGCCAAAATCGTTCTGAGAAGAAGCACGCAGCATTAATGTTACCCACTGACAAGATCATCAACGATTTTCCACTGCTATTTCAACTGTTCTTGTTGTTGCTGCTGACGTTCTTTTTCTTGTTCTCATAATTGGCATTGCTAGGTTCGAGCAATGGTCCAAGTAGTAGTATTGTCGTAACAACTACTGTTAATACCATATAGCATCAATGCTCATGCTAGAATGGTTACAACTAGTATATCGGTTCCATGCGCGACAAATATAAACATCGATTTCGAAACACACTCACGGCACGGATGTGTTAGCAAGAGAGTGTCAGTAAGAGCATCGGTATTGGAAAGAGGCATCATGGTCGGGATCAAAAGCTTTCGCGTCGCGGCACGGAACAGCGCAAGCATTGATGGTTGTGTCCAACAGACCGGCCAGGCCAGTTCTCCATGTACTGGTCGCTGGTGAGCCCTTAGCATTGCTCCGTGAGTTTGCTGCTAGCTTGGAAGCTTTCATACTTGGAGCATTTGTTGTTCTCATGCCTTGACCCTGGGGATATGTGCCGGATATGGGAAGCACGGCCAGATGGCATGTTCATGTGATGCTGCACCTTCCTGGGCACCCTGGCTCGCAGCTAGTGCTCCGTGCAATCCATGCCTGGAGCGAATTTTGAGGACGGGGGTTTTCCAGCAAATGCCTGAGCAGCAGTCCAAATGTTCGGGGGCCTCTGAAACGTCACCCAGCAAAAGCAGAAATACGAAGCCTCCACCGGATCATGTCAGGAGACGCAAAAGGAGCGGCCGCGCCCTTTTATGCTCCCAAGTCACCTCTTGTTGGCCCGCCACAGGACCGGCATGGTATGTGGAAAGGTTTCATGTAGTCAGTCTGTAGTATGTCTGGGACTACAGAATGGGGGATCTCATCAGGGGTCCTGATTTCGGATATTGTTGCATGCAATTTGTTTTGTCCGTGACTTCTCTGGCTTTCAATGCTCGGGAGTGCTGGTCGAAGACATGACATGCGATTCCTGCCAGGACCACGGCATCTCTTTAGACCTGCCACTGAGCTGAAATCGTTGGGCGGGCGGCTATAGTCTTCAGTTCGAGGTATATGAACGTGATACATCAGTGACCCCGTGCATCCTACCAGTTGTACGCAAGGAATCTGCATGCCTCCGAAGGCATCTCAGTAAGCGCAAGGACTGACTGCCAGCCATTACATTTCGCGTGAGTGAAACCTAGAGACAAGAAGAGGCAAGAGAGAGGCTCCGATCTTGCCGGTCGCGCCGTCAGGGTGGGCTATCGTGCTTGCAGGATCCTGGTCTGAACTGTCGCAACCATGGCGATGTGCAACATCCCGTCCACGAACACCGACCCTCAGTACCGCTCGGCCCACAGCATGTTTCAGCTTGGGGTGCTGCCTACTCCTCGCCTGAACTGGCCCCTCCCAGATATTTCCCTCTGGACAGTATAGGTGAGACTGCCTGGGCCTACTCTCTCCCTCTGTCTCCCTCTCCCTCTCCCTCTCTTCCTCTCTGTCTCTCTCTTTTTTTGTCGCCCTCTCTCAGAGAGCCTTCCACTCTCGCAATTGACAAGGCTACAAGATGCCACGGCTGATGGCAAAGGTCGAGGGTCGTGGAAATGGCCGCGCGGCTGCAGTTCTGATTCCTCCATGTTTCGTTCCGTTTTACAGTGCCCGGGATCCCAGGAGTCACAGTTACGAGACTGTGGGCTTCAGCTTCAGGATCACGCACGTTTGAGATCTTTTGGAACTGACCCTAGGTATCAAGACCTGCATTGTGAACATGGGAGAGGCTTGGCGGGCATGGGCAAAGGGACCTGGGACTCTGTGATCTGAACATGACTATGAAGCGTTCAACCTTAGATGTTGGGACTGCGTACACGTCAGCACATGTAGCCGCGCTCAAACAGGTTGCCCGCGCAATCAAGCGACCGCCGCCGCAAAGCTGCAAAGTCATGCGACTATGTCGATGTGGAAGCGTGCCGTGCTTCGTCAAGCCTGTCTTCGGCGATCCAGGCAGTACGTGACAAAGTTCTTTGGCAACGCATGGGCCCCTGAGACCATGTGTGCACCAAGTGCACCAGTACAGGGAGGCTGCAAGCGCTCCGCGAGAAACGTGTTGCATGCGCAAGGACTTGGGTGCTCAATCGACCTACACGAACAAGGTTCCTGTTGCGAGATGTATGTCCTTTATGGGCCCATAGAGTCCTCACATCGTCGTGTGCCAGGAAGGAGAGGGGGAGCGATCCATCGTTCGTGGGGCGCATCAGGTGGAGGCCGGGGGCATGCGGGCTGCCTTTGATCCTATCTGTGGGTCCGAGTCTCTTGAAGTTTCCATTTTCTGACCGTTGCACCTGAGAATTTTGGGCTCCGGAGTTCCTGGGAAGCATGTCTCGATTATGTGTGGACGTTTACATGGGCAGCGGCAGAGCGCTGCAGATCTCGCTGGGAGTTTCCGCGACAGTTCGAGACGTGCAGCACGGCATCATTTGCTCAAGCTTTGTTTTTCTTTGCTGCAGTTCTGGTCTCTGTGCTGTTCAGGCTGGCCTGAACCCTAAACCTCAAATTAGGAAGGACAGCATCTCGGAGATACTGCATGTACGGCCACATCACCAAAGGTTGATCCTTTCCGATGTCAGGAGTGCCAAAAGACTATTCGATTCCCAGCGCGTCCTGCAACTGTCGTCAAAAGACCCCTTCGGGACTCTCGAGTTGTTGCTGGTGTTAAACGCCGAGCTGTGAGCTCAAGACTTGCAACGTGGATGTCGGAGCAGCCAGGAGGCTGTGGGCTGTGAGCCAATCGAATTCGAGAACAGGAGTCCAAGTTTTGAAAGCCCATCCGAAGGTTGCTACTTATATATATATGTATATATATATATATATGTATATATATATATATGTACGTTTAAATAGCTTGCGCTTAGTCAAGCGATTAGTTGTAGTCGTCAGTCACTAGCATTGCTGTTCACAGTATCTCCGGATTAGCTCAAGACTTAATGCGTTGTATGTGTTTGCAGGAGTCTCCACACAGGAGAGCGGGACGTGTGCTGTGCGCACACTCACTCGTTTGCTGCAACCGTCGGAATGGGCGAATCAGGGGCACAGTTCCATTCCAACGTACAGTCTTGCTAAGAGGTCTTGTTAGAATTGACCTGTTCGGAAAGATATCTGAAGCGGACCCTGATGTGGAACATGCCAAGAGGTTGCGCTGCTTGCAGTGGAGTCTCCATTGCAGGCTACCGCTTCCTCCCTCGTAGTTGCTGTGGCTGTCGTAGTTTCCAATCTTAGGCGGCTCAGCTCGGATTCCAGGTGCTGCTTCGTTGGATTCTTCAGGTTCAGAAGCCAGTCACCAGGAAACCTGGCGAAAAGATTTTATGTTGAGACGACGAGGCAATTTAGCTGGCTTCGTTGGGTCATGCGATGTCTGCGTTTTGCACACAGAGCAAGTGACACGCAGTGGATTCTCCGCTGCATGTCGCAAGCCCATACAGCCGTGATATGTTGTCTGTGCCGTCCTCTCGTTTCACTCCGCCATCCCGACCTCTCGCTATGAGGCTTGCGCAGCGGGTTAAAGTCGCACGATGCAGTCGCAATCCGTCGCCCAGATTCGAGTTCATAGGTCAGAAGAGCAGTACATGGGAGGCTTTCGTGCCAGCAGTCAGCCTCCAACCCGAAGATCGTTTATCCCTAAAGTGGAAGTGGTTGGCCGCGCTCTGACACAGGACTTGCGGACTTCACTGGATAAGTTCATCGAGAAGTACGTCTGCTGTGAGAACTGCTGCTCGGCGTTAATGAAACGCCTTCTTTCAGTTCCTGAAGACCTTACAAAGAGCAGCTTGAGTAGTCGACATGGCTGCGAAGAGCAATGATGTTGCGGGTCTGGTCGCACAAGTGGTCTTCTTGCATGATCCAGCCATGTTTACCTACTTGTACTTGAGGAGGTTCCTTGCTTGGTAAAGGAAGCGATCTTTAGGCTTATTTTTTCAAGCGGAGGTTTTTGGTCCCACATTCCAAGGCCATCTTCCCGAGATTGATATGTTCATCAAGAAGGGCATCATCCAGGAGAGCCTCCTCCACTGTTGAAGTCTTGTTGCGGAGTACTGGACAGCCTTTAGATGCTGGTTGAACTCCGTCAATGTCGAACGTCCAGTGGTTCTCTGCGCGCTTGTCGGCGATGTTGAGGGCAGCTTCAAAGCTGTACCCGGAACACACCTCTGCATGACTGATTGATTCCGTGTTGTTGACAACAGCACTTTAAGGACAGGCACGGGGTGTGGTCGTGAACGGTTTATCAGAGATGGTTTCGTGGCTTAAGTTGCCACCCCGCGCAGGGTCGATGCAACGCCTGTGGCTGGCAGGGTGAACTTGACAATGTGGACAAGCCACTCGGCAGTGCAGTTCCTTCTGGACGAAGTTGTAGAGTATTGCGTGAGGAGCTGTTGAAAGCAAAACTTCCCGAGCCGGCAGACTGTAACGTAAAGTTAAAGTCTCACTGTTGCTCTGTCTGGCCAGTTAATCACAAGGCTTGCGGCTTTTATCCTCAAGAATCCGTCAGGTTCTCAGTGGTCTCTGGCAGTTCGGCACTTCAATGTAAAGGTGTTGTGCAGTTAGACCTGCTGTGCTGGTGCTTGCTAAGTCCTGACGAGTCTGGCATGGGCTTGGGCACCATGGAAGCTAACGTCAAGCGCAGCAAGAAGCCCAAGGGTGGCAAAGAGGACATTACAGTCAGAGCATGTGCTCCCATATGCTGCACGGCACATCTACTTTAGCGCTCCGAAGAGACGACCCTGGCCTGGCAGAACTGCCAAAACTCTGTAGCAAAACCCAGAAAGCTGCAGGACAAGAATGCTGATGACGACGATGAGGCACAGGTTTAAGTGCCAAGATCGGATGCGAGAGGGTGCTCATCTGGCGGCGGTTTCTGTGCATGTGATCAAGGATGATGACGACTCTGGCAGCGCTAAGGCCCTACCGCTTCAGAGTAAAGCTGCAAAAGTCTTCTTGCTGGTTGAACGGCAGCGAGTTTTGACAGAACACCAGCAGGAGAAGAAGGAAAAGAAGGAGAAAAAAGAGAAGAAAGAAAAGAAGGACTGCGCCCTTTGCATGCTTGTTTTGCCTTGAAGGACGATCTTGGTGTAGCAGGCAAGCTGCTCCCCTACAGCAGTAGAATTGAACTAGCTGCGAGCATACGGCCTTTTGCATGTAGGAGAAAAAGAAGAAGGACGCCGACGACAGCGACGAAGATGATGAGAAGGAGAAAAAGGCATGGCACTTCGCAATCATGCTAGGCTAAGCTGATGGCACCCTGACTTTGGTAAATCGGGTTCTGAGGAAAAGAAGGAGAAAAAGGAGAAGAAGGAAAAAAAGGAGAAGAAGGAGAAAGACAAGGACAAGGAGAAAAAAGAGAAGAAGGCCAGGATCGTTCAGGTGTGATGAAGTGGAGCTACCTCGCCACATGAATGCCGTCCAGGGTTGGCTAAGCTTAGTGTGCTGGCAATTCGCGATGTTAGACATGCATCAAGGTTTCGGGTTGGGAGTCGTTTGCCAGGATAAGAAGGAGAAGAAAGAGAAAAAGGACAAAAAGGTGCGGATGTGCGGGCGGTTATGCGGATGCAGAGAAAAGGTTCTCCTGAAGTTATGTTGCGCAACCTGTGCAGGAGAAGAAGGACAAGGACACTCGAATGATGCAGTTCTACTCATACTTCTCAGACACACCTCCTAGTACGGTTCTTCAAGGTTGTGGTTCCACCAGTTTTCCCCCTTTTCTTCTCTTTGGTAGTTCGAGCTCTTCCGGCAGGAGGAGGCTCCGGAGGACGACGAAGACTCCGACAAGGATGTCCAGAATCTCACGCCTTGGCCGCAGACTGTTCTCTTCAAGGGCTCCCCTGAACCGGACTGAGCTGCAGGCATGACGACGAGCAGACCAAGTCTGTGATCGTCGTTCTGAAGGAGTTCGTGGACAGCAAAGGCTGGCCGGGTTCTTGTTCCTTCTGCAAGTTGTGAAGGGGACGAGACGTTGCATCCCCGAAGGTGGCAAGCCCAGCAAGGCCGACTTCTTCGAAGAGCTGCGCATGCAGTTTCCTGGCGACAGCTACGCAGAGCTGATTACACACACACACACACACGCACACTTATTGCAGTGTTTGTGCTTGCAGCTGCATCCTGGGACTCTGCAAATATCTCCTGCAGTCTGATCGGCTTCTGGGACCCAGGCAATTGGCAAAGGTGTTTGACAACAAGGTGCCCATCGAAGTCACAGTCCCGAGCCGGGAAGGGAGAAGCGGGAAGCGGTGCGCAGGTGCGCTTGTTCATCGCCTTCGAGGCCCGGGTGGTGCAGTGGGGTCGGCCTTCAGACGCTGCAGGGCCGACCAGAAAGCTTCGACCCTCAGGTGCTATGTGGCAGCTCCATGGATGCCAAGGCGCTCAGTGGAGCCAGCGAGTTGATTGTGCGGCACCGAGTTGCAAAGATTCTTGTTCAGCCCAGACCCGACATTCGTGGTCGTACTATGATGTATTGTCATTTCCTAACGATGCGCTCAGGACAAAGTCATCAGCAGCCCGCCTTCCTGGCCAAGTGTTGCCACATTCTGCACAAACTCGGGCATCGTGTCGCCGCACCCTCATCCCACTCCGCGCCTGCTTTCTCCTCTGAATTACACCACCTCTCTTTCTGTCTCTCTCTCTCTCTCTCCTTTCCTTCTCTCTCCCTCCCTCTCTCTCTTTCTCTCTCGCCCCTCTTTCCCTCTCGTCTCTCGCATCCGCTCTTCATTTTCTGCTATCTCCATGTCAACCGTGCGATCTCCGTATGGCTTGCACAGCTCAAGGTTGTTGAGGGGTGATTTGGCAGGAAGTTGCCAGCTCGTGATGTTGTCTGGGCCTGCTCCTCATGTACAACGAAGCAGACTCGCATTTCACAGCTTCCACTTCCAAGGCTCTGGATGCCTACCTCCAGGCAGGGAGGGTCCCCGAGAGAGTGGCTGAGACACCTCGCAGCCAGCCTCTGGCTTGGGAGCACCTCCAGGCGAACCCCGGAGTTTCAAAGGGCTTCGCCATGATGCTCAAGGTCGCCTACGATGAGGACAGCTGGATCTGCAAAGCTCGCAGGAATCTTTTTGCATCTTTACTTCGCGTCCGGTATCTCAGGACTGGGCGGAGGAGAAGGAGATCCTCTCGTGACCCTTCTTGTGTCTTACTTCTTCAATCCACGACAGAAAAGTGGTGGAAGGCTCAGGCGAGCAGACTCGTAGGTCTTCATACACCTCATGGCACTGCTTGGGTTGCGATGCGTTCTCTGACCTTGCCTTTACCATCACGATGCATCGCAGTACATTGCGCAGCACTTCCGTCCTCCAATCTATGAATCTATACATGCCTTGAGTTTCGGATGCAATTCCAGCCTGGATGATGAAGGTACTACCAGGAGGACGAGGGAGTCGGGGAGCCAGGCTTTGATGAGGCCAAGAAGTTGGCAGCACCATTCCTGACGTCGGGTCACCCAGCGCAAAAATGCGTTCTGCCCAACTTCGAAGTCGGAGGTATTCGAAACCCTAAGCAAGCCCAAAACCCGAAAAGCCCAGGTGGTTGGAGAAGGTCGATTCTGAGGAGGATGACGACGATGATGATGACGAGGAGTGTGACCGCAAAGTGGTTCTGGTTCGGGTTTGGGGCGTAGGGCATGGCACTGGAAACCTTCACCCAGAACTCCTCTGCTTGACTCTCCAGCTTCACTTTACTAAAGAATGAGCAGCAGTTGCAGGACGACGACTAAAGGCAGCTCGCAAGCGCTTGATCCCAGAAGTGCTGCACCTACAGGGTGTTCGTCTTTCAGTGGTGTAGTCAAGTCCGGATCCTGCTTTTCCAAGGAGGTACTGGGCGCAATCCCCTTCAGCCGCCCCTTTTTCGCAGCTACAGACGCCTTGGAACAGTGGGACGTCAATGCTGAAACCAAAATGGACCGCCAGCCCTGCTTGCCTGCGTTTCAGTCGGAAAGGAGCAGATGCCCAAGGCAAAGCTATTGAGATGCTCTTGGTACGCGGTTTGTGACTTTGCCCACGCAGACCTCCACCCTTCTGTACCTCCTCCTTGCCGCGCTGGTGGCCTTGGCCCTCTTGTTTGCCGCGACGGCGGCATTTGGTGCTTTGGTATACTTTTCTTCTGTCATCTGGGTCCATCTGCGAATCTCACCAGCATGGTGTAAGGTTGTCCAGAGATTCGGCTGGCACGGGAAGCTGAAGCGTGCCTCGGAAGCATCCCGGAATATCTTGTCACAGAGAGTTTCGGGATCCCTCCACAACCATGACTGGGATCAGTAGCTTGAGATGCCCGAGGCTTCTTCTTCCGCCTGGAGGCTGCGCTACATGGCATGTGACTGTAGCTCCCGGACTTCGCACATCCTTGTTAACAGGGTTTCTAGCATTGGCAATGACCGGTGCTAGGAAGTGCTGCTGCCCAAGAGACCACATCAAGTTCGGTTCCGGCCTCGACCGAGGGTTGGCTGCTAAGACTTGGCTTGGCGGCTGTGCCATTTCGCCCAAGTGCTGAGGCAGCCAGTGCTGAAGGCTGCGTGGTGAGCGTCGCCTCCGGTGCGTGGTGCGAGCCTGTGGCACGTGGTTCTTCTACCAGTCTGCTGCCATATTGCCGGAGCACACACTGTCGCACCGCAGAATCCAGCGCTGCATGCACGCGCTGTGTGTGTGACCTTCGGAGGCTGGTAGTAAAAGGCAGAGCGCTGGCGTTGCGGACTCGCAGAGCTTGACGTGAAGCATAAGACATAAGAATCATGAAAAGATTGCCTTGTGAACCGTCTGTGAAAAATGCTGCTCGATGGATGCAGAGCAGGGGGGCAGGCACTGCAGGACGGATTTTTGATGGTGTTGGCGAGAGGAATCCCGAAGTATTCTCCTGGATCCGCATCTCCCAGCACCCGGGCTCCCTTAACCCTCCTACCTCAAAGCCCTGAAGTTTCTAGGCTCGCTGTGCTACTGCGACTATCTGCGACTTGTTGAGCCGAGCCTCAGGCCCCAAACCCCGCTCAGCCGCAGCTTCTTGGGAGCACTTCAGGCCCCGAAGCCTTTGCAAGTCTGATGGAACCCCCCTCCTTCATGCCATGGCTCCGACACAGCCGGGAGTAGTGCACCATGATAATACAAGACTTCACAAGACTATAGGAAAACAAAGGAGTTGGCAATACAGTTAATGGAGTCCTCATTGTTATCATGTTAATGCATCGATGCAGTTCGTTTAACAGGAAGTATTGAAGCCTGCATGTCCTGCCAGCGACGAGTCGCAATTCCTATCCTCCAGCCTGTACAAGCACTGCGTGTTTGCTGGTGATACGAATGGCTGTCTAGGTTCATGCATGTCCGCTGCCATGGGGAAGACTTCCGTCGGCTATGCTCCGGTGGAGACTGCCGGCAAGATGGTTATAGGCATATGCGCGAGCTGTCGCTGTGCATGGCTGCATGCTTGCTTCATATTCCCAGCCTCATGCATCACTCGCAAAGTCCGCTGTTGCAGGCCTTTCCCAAATCGAACCGCTTCACTCACCTCACGGTTTTAGTAGGGTGGGCGTCAGTTGCCTTGATAAAGCGAGGTGCCTTCGATGACGACGACGATGACCTGGAGGACCATGGCATCACGTGGACCTTTGCACCTCAGGTCTTAATCGGCTGGAAGCTGTTCTTGTCAGGATGGGAAGGTGGTCTCAGCACCCCCTCCGAAGCTCGACCAGGCCTGGGATTCGAGAGACAGAATCGGTGAGGGGAACTGGTGCAAGCGTACGGTGCCTTTCTGGATCCAGCTGCTTCAGGCGGACTTGCCTCTGAGGCAAGTGGCCTTTGCCGTCATTCTATACGCAGCTTGTTCATCCACGCTGCTGCTGATCAACAAGGCCACCTTGCATGGGATCTGATCTTTCGCACGTAGAAGTCTGTTCTTGTTGCCGAACGCATTCCAAGGCGGATATACAACTTATGCAGCTTCCTGTGGGCAGGTGGCGATGAGCTTCGTGCCGGATGCCTCGTTCATTCTCTTCTGCCAGTTTCTGTCATCATCGGTGACGGCAGCATGCTTGCACTGATTCGGAGTTGCCAGCGGTGCGGATATTTCAAACTAGCAGCCTTGAGGTGCGGCTGATCAGATGTGCTGCTCCTGATGCGGACATTGAGCTGATCCGTTGCTCGGCGCGACTATGCATGTGATCCAAGCAGCTGTCTTATTTTTGCTCAGACATGCTGGTTGGACACGCCGCAGACATACACTACATACCAGCTCGCGAGCATGTCGGATGTCGAGCTCGAAATCGCCCTGAAGTTGGGAATCAGGCTGGGAGAAAGCACGTCCTTTCTTTCTCGCCTGCCTCGTCTTCTTCCTGTGCCTCCTGGCGACTTGCTTGCAAGAAGCTATGTGTGGATTGCTGCCAGAATTAGCATTACCCTTTGTGTCTGATGTTTGGTTTTTCTCCCCGTGGCATCATCACTGTCCGCTTCCCTCACGCTCCTGTCGCTACCACTGTCACCCATGTCACCCTAAACAGCCCCACCAGCACAATCGTCACCAGCGCAAGTCACAGCAGCAGGAGAAGCTGCTGCTGCCTATCTGCAGCAGCTTCCTCACGAGATTCTGGAATTTATTGTTGCTGATATCACTGTGATGTCACGGATGCTTCTCGAGGCCAACACGCAAGCGCTGAAGTCAGTGAATGTGGAGACTGTCATCGTGGCGAGTCGGAGCCTCGTGTCCGTGCGATGCGTTTTCCCCCTGGAATGGCCTCAGTCATGGTCAGTCATGGGGCGAATGGCAAGCACAGCGTGAGTTCAGAGTTTCAGAGAGGATGATGCAGCCTCTGAATCTGATGTGTGTGGGGGACTGCAGCTAACAGCTAACACTTCTCATGGGGCTCAGCTGCTGACTCGGGCTGCAGGATCCTGCTCACCGATTGCAGCTGCTTGCTCGAATCGGATGGGGGATTCTGAACAGTCTGGGGGCAGTATTTTCTGGGTCCTGGCGAATCCTTGTTATCTGAAACTATTCAGTGGATCGAAACATTACCTGGCACTTGGTCGGTGTAGCTGTTTTTTGTCAAGGTGGTTCTCTAGGTATTTGAGGCCATGGAGCATGCTAGAGCGTCTTGATGTTGAGCCTGCTTCCGTCTGACATGTAACAACTGCCACGAAGCCAGACCTTGTGGAGTGGAACAAAGGTCTCCATCCTGGAGCATTTCACCTTGGGTAGGGCCCTGCCGAACGCGGCAGGGGTGCTGTCTTTGGCGGCGACTTGATCCAATCGTGCGCATTCCTCTGTGCCAGTAGTCGTTTCTTGAAGCCATGAAGCAGAGCAAGAAGACAGCTGCACAGGCAATCGCTGGCGGGGCGGTGATCTATGTCCTTTCAGATCAGGGCTTCCAAATCGACGGGTATTCATGGCTGCTGGTGTATTTTGTGGCTTGGCCCTATGCTCCTTGAAGCTAGCAATCACGTGAATGTACTTACATCGCCGTACACCGCTTCTGATGTTCAGCTGAAAGTCTGAGCTTGATGTGTATGCGGAGTGTATCGCTGCAGTTCCACACGCTTTCTCGGTTCCTTGCCTGTCCAAGGTGTTTATCGTTATCGAGATGGTTTTCGTGAAGTTCGTCGTAGACACGGTCCCGATGTCGACGTGGACGCGTGTCTACTACAACAACACTTTGCACCTCTGCGGAAAGGAGGAACGGAGCAGTGTGGTCACAGAGAGGGTGAAGTGCATGTTCGCAGCGGCAAGACACCGCTGATGAGCATTTCTCTCCGGAAGCTGCCCCCCTCCCGCATTCTCCTATCCCAAAGCTGTGCTTGTTGGATTGTTACCCTGAGCTCACACGTTTCGACATCAGTAATCGGCTGGACATGACATCAGGTCGCTTCCTATGGTGATGGTTTCCTCGCTGGTAACGGGCTTTGGCGCCTTCTTGAAGGCTGGCCGACGCTTCATTACCATCATTGCTAGTATGACTGCGAAACTACAGGCAGCCGTGCTAAGAAACGTATACATGCAAGCAAAGAGCACGCAAGACCTTCCGGCAACCAAGACGAGCAGGCCAGACGTACACTGTAGCAAGCTGCTAGAGTCTAGAGTTGGCCTTGTGGGGGGTTTGCGGTTCGCTTTTGGCAGATGGTAGTTGAAGCGGCAGTTGTGGTAGTGGAGTTGGTGGTGCAGTCGCAGGATCAGTAGTAGTCGCAGTAGCCGCAGTGAAGGTGGCAGTGCTAGTGACACTGGTTGGGCTGATAGTAGCAGCACTACTGGTCGGCGAGGTGGTGGTGGCGGTGGTAGCAGCAGCAGCAGCTGCTGCAGCAGCAGCACCAGACAAAACCAAAGACAACGGACATGCGTGACCAAGTAAAGATAGTTGTGGTGTGCCTGTGTCAGGTGGAATGGGGAGTGGCCCATGTCGTCGTGGTGGCTCTTTCCTGTGTGGTAGGCTGGGCGACGGTAGAACAGCAGCCGTCGTTTGTCTTCTTAGCTTCAGCTTCCGACGACGTGATGATGAGACGTGATGGTGATGATGATGATGGTGATGATAATACTGTTCACACTGCTGGTAATGATGATGAGGAGGAGAAAGATGACGCTGATGATGATGTATCTGTGATGATGATGATGATGATATGGTGACGAGGATGATGTTCCCCATAATGGCCCTGACCAATTGCCAGAATCATGTATTTGCATTTGGAACATGGCTACTGCCATGGCTGCGTCTACCTCAACGGAAGCGAGTATGGTGACACTGGTATTGCTTCTAATGTTGCCGTTCACCAGTCCTTGTATTCGTACCGCGCCTTCTTTTCTATTCTCACAACTATTGCTTATTACTATTGCTCCATATTGCTCCTCCGTCGAATGCTGCGGCTTTTGCCGCTGATGATAAAGAGCAGTAGCATCTAAGAATCTAGTAGCATCGACATGGAGATCACGTGAATAATGCCAACATTCTCACAGCCGTTATCATGATTCGCGAACTGTTTTTGGTTGCCCTCTTGCTTCCTCTCTGCACCGGAAGGCGTCGCGATTTCCTACGCGGGGATGCGTCCTCAGTCAGAGGGCATCGCAGCGCAGTGAAAGGGGGGGTGGTAGGGTTTAGGGTGGAGGGATCGTGAAGTGCAGGAGAAGTGCAATGGGAGAAGTGCAATGGGAGCTCTCCCAACTTTCTCGCCTGAAGACCTGAATCCTAAACCCCGAGTTGGCTCCGACGTTCGAAAAAACTTAAAAGGAGTCAGCGTCCTTGTCCTGAGCCCCGCAGCATGCACCTTCGAAGTCAAGGTTCAACCTGCGGAAGGCCGTCTCGGCAACCTCGTTCACCGTTATCGGCCAGCGGCTCGGGTAGGCTCTCGAAAGTTCGAGACGTGCTAAGATGGTTGTGGCCATTATTGCGGGCCCTTTCGATGATTTAGGGTGGGATTACTTGCCGTTCCATCTTCAAGCTGCGCAAAAAAGCCACGCATTCGAGTGATTCATCGGCATCCATGCATTTGATTCTTGCTGCCGTGGTTGCTATTTCTTGCAAGTCTCACCTGCCCATACCTGATTTCGACTCTGACAACAAGGTGTCCTGTGCAAGCTCCTCACTGTCCTTCTGAATGACACAGTCTTCGGCCCCAGTGAAGCGGATTGTACAGCTGGAGATGTGCACGCTGAACTATAGACCAGAGAGTGCGAGAGAGAGAGAGAGAGATCATCTTCCGTAGCCGTCTTGGCTCAAGTCATGTGCCGCGCCCTGCTTGTGGGGTGGCGCCCAGCAACGTCCCTTTCGGTCTGGGGAGACTGGAAAAACGGGGTTGGACGCTTGCTCGGAGGTGCCCAGGTGACCGAGCGCAGGGCACCCGGTGATCCTGACGAACGACCCCTCTTCCTGGAAGGCAAAGACAAGCAGACGACACCAGGGTGAAGACTGGGGGGGCACAAACCAACCAGGGAATGACCGTGATTTTGGCAGGGAATGACAAGCACGCCGACAGAGGAGGACCCAGTGGAGAGTGAGACCCCAGCCAAACGGGCAAGCAGGGGGCGAGTCAAGCAGGCATACGAGATGAAGCCGCGACAAGCAGAGTGGCGCGCCCCGGAGAAGGGGTGGCACCGAAGTTCATGAAAACGGCTCTCAAGAAGGACAAGGCCACCGAGGGACGCGGCTGAAACAGACGTCTACAAAGTTTTGACCTGTGTATAACTTCGCAACCACCGGGACACCCGGGATCTTAGAACACAAACCAAAGCAGACATGACGTGTCGTGACACCGATGTCGTACACCCACCCTTGATTTGTGTCACGAGGCACCCGCCCAACTCTTTCAACCGATAGAGTGGTGTGCCCGTGGCAAGCATACGGTTTGCAGGGCCGAATATTCAAGCATGTTTTTCTTGGCCCCGCGTGCATTACAAACCTAGACACACCTTTTCTTTACAGACGAGCCCATCCTCAGAGAATCTGGGATGGGGGTGTGCAGACGTGCGGGGTACAGGGACTGCCTTCGCCCTTTCCCCTAGCCTAGCAAAGCAAAGCAGAGATCGTTTGATGCATAGCATGTGGCGGATGTGGGTAGTTTCTTGACGTCTTTCCATCGGAAACCTTAGATTAGCAAGGACACACGCACCTGCAACCTCGCGAGTCTCAAGCCAAACAACCCGCTATTGCCGGTTTTGCCTTGTTTTTCGGAGGACAAAAAATATCATCGACGCGATGAAGCTGAGCATAAAAGCCAGGCCAACAGAGCTTGACTCCCGGGCCTGCCCGACGCATTAGGAAAAACGCGCAAGAACATGTGGCCAGGAGCGAGGCTGCGTCTCCCATCAACTGCCCCAGGGTAGATGCTTTAGACGAGATTCGGCGGCCGGCGGGAAGAGCGAGAGAGAGAATTGGCATGTCGACTGATGCCGTCGTATAAAAGCGCTAGCAACTTGACCCAAACCGTATTACGTGGTGCACAGATGCTGCAAGTTTCCAAAACTTCTTTCCGAGGGTGCTGGAAATCACATAGGTGCCATGTACAGACAGAAACCTGTGATGCGCAATGATGCTCCGCTCTTTCTTTGCTGTCTGGGCAGGCCTAGGGCACGACTAGCCCGGATAACGTCACATCGTCGCTTCTCGATGCTGTGCCCATCAGAAGCAAGCTCGGCAGAACTAAGCCCTAAACCCTAAACCCTAAACCCTATTTGCTTGCCTCCGCCACGAAGGTCTGGAGCAATCATTCCAATTTCATGGGCCACCTTGGCCTGCTGCTTTGCATCGCCGCAGGCCCCACCCCACCCTGCAAGGGCAAGGGGCTCTATAGAGTTCCATGAAGTATAAGGTTACCAAAGGGTTCCTATGCCGGGTTACTATGAGGTTTCGTATGTCCCTGGCATTGAACTCTTGCACTACGCACAGCCCTCCGCAAGTGTCCCGAATTGTGCGATGTTTGTTGGGTGATGTCATAATTCTCGGAGCAGTTGCATCACTGCACAGGCTTTGCGTACGAACGGACAAAGGCCAGGTCGAAGTGTTGCACTCGAGAGTCTAGTTTCCCAGCAAGCAATGACACCCAGACCCCTTTGACGCCAGGCGCCGAGATAGGCAAGGAGGCAGGAACGTCTGGAGACGGGCGGAGACCGCGCTTCTCACCTAGAAGGATTTGAAAAGTAAGAGTTGGACTACACGAACGAGCTGCTTGTCAAGGTGTGTAGTGCGCCACCTTCTCCAGCCTTTTGTCCGATACTTTGGGCAGACCGGTGCAAATTGAAAACGAACGAGACGCTGAGGAAAGGCTCAGAGACCTCGCAATTCGGATACTTGCTGCAGTCCAGACACTGAACCAAGCCAACCACGTGCGAAGACTTGCCTGCTGGGGTCTGCAAGGATGAGAGTGACAGTTGCATGCGGTTTCGTGTGGTCATGTACTTTCGATGTACTCGCTGCTCAGCCGTTTCAAGCATTGAAACGGATCTTGTCGTCGCCTATTAAAGCATCTGTGCCCAACAGCCGCCCGCTTGCATTCTATCCGATTGTCTTTTCGGAATATCTGAAGGAGACACTTCACTGTATCAGTCGGCTGCGCTTCGATAACTCATAAAAACGCAGGCCGAACGGGGCTAAACGTAACTTGAGCAAGAAGTTACCGGGTGTAGAACCCAACACACAGTTCGGAGAACTTCCGACGAACATACTACACATGTCTTTGTGTATGTTTTTTTGGTGCTCCTGTGGCGGCGGCATTCCACTCCTCGGTTGCCACTGCCGGTGTACATAAATTGTTATTCTACAAGATGTTCTGCTACTAGGTTGCTTTGGTGCTCTCGTAGTTTGTTGCATTTGTGCTTTAGCTCTAGTAGTACTCCTGGTGGCATTGGTGTCATTTTCAGCCTTATTCTTCTGTTGTTGTAGCAGAAGCAGCAGCAGCTGCAGCAGCAGTAGCCGTAGCCGTAGCCGTGGGAGTAGAAGTAGGGGTAGGGGTTGGAGTAGGACTATGGTACGGTATGCTGCGCTAAGGCACAATATTGCGATATATTGCAATGCTGTTTTTTCTACAAGCTGAGGCCTTGCATGTGCAGAGTGGTGGGCTTGACATGTCTCCTCGTACTGGCTGCGACTGCGACTGCCTTTGATGCAAAGCATGAGCCGGAGCAGCTTGGCTTTGTCTGTCAAAGGTCCAGCAGTTGGCATGGGTAAGATTAGAGCAAGGCTTTGTTCCAGGCTCCATGTAACAATCTGTTCCAAGCTCAGGCACACGCAGAAGGACGTAACGCGGCATCAAAGCTTCCTGTCTGCATGTACCTAGCAAGTTCGGTCACACAGTAAGGTGTCCTTCATGTTCGGTTCTCTTGGAAATGAGCGTACAAGTGAGGGATGATCTTCTATCTGCTGCATCGCAAACATCGCAACTAGCAGAAGCAACTCTGCCGAGCTGCTCCAGAGAGGTTGCATGGCGAACATTGCAAGCAGCTCAAGCAGCTCTGCAGTGCTGTGTTCCAGGTTTCGTTGTGGATGGCTCTGCCGACATACGCCCGGCTCATCCAGCACCCTCCCCGCTGCTTGACAGCAACTCAGGGCAGCAGTTGTGAAAAGTTCAAGTGTTCATACCCCCGGGCAAGCCGAGGCAGCTATCGCACTTGCTGCCTGTGGAGGATCCAGTTTGTGCACTGCATCTACGCATAGAAAGGAGGGATGACTTGAAGCTTCTTCCGCAGGAGCTGGCATCCTCCGACGCGGAGTAGGGAACCTAGCGAACCTAGCGTGCTTGCAGGGGAGATCACGGCGCAACAGGGCGTAAGTGTGCGGCGGCAGATCATCTCCGGAGTCTCCGGCATAAGTTTTTCTTGAGTTTGGTGGTAGCTTCACTGGGAAAAGCTACGGGAAACGCAAGGTGGCGCTACCGATGAGAGCAGGCAATCATGAAAGGCAGCGTTGCACACGAACAGAGCCTTGTTCAAGGCACGACCACAACCCGTCTCAACTATTCCCAGGTCAGCCAGGTCCTGCAAACACGCCGAGGGCAGAAATCAACAGAAGAACCCAGCACAGAATACATACAAGTCGCTACTCCAACTTCAAAGTTTCACGGAGTGCACCAACACCAAATTGACATTGACCTTGCGCAGTTTTTGTCGTCGAGCAACGCATACATCCGACATCCGATGCGCTTCAAACCTGGACCTTCGACCCGACACCTCCAAACCCCGGCGGTTCTTGACTCTTTAGCCCCGAGAGCCTTTGCGTTGAGGCTTGCACGGGTACAACTACTGCGGTCTGAACCGTCGGCGCCTGCTAGCCTGTCGCAAGGCGGGCGGAGGAGCATGGGTTACGGGGATGACGTATGCAAGCTGTGCGGACTATGGCTTAATGGTGAGGGCGAAGTTGTTTATACAAATGCTTGCCCAACCATCGACATGACGTTGTGTTGTGCCAGACGGGAACAGACAGACAGGAAGGCAGGCATTCGCTTCCTTCTGGAATCATGTCGGAGGTGTTTGCGATCACGGTAGTCATCATCGTTTATTACAGCTCTAGTGCTACTTTCGCCGTTGCTACTGCACGTTGTTGTGGTTGATAAGCGCCATCGGACAGTGTCCAACTGGCTTTCAGTGCAGGCCGTGGAGCGAGAGTTAGCAGATAGCCATCATTCACTAGATCCTAGATTGTGAGTTTGCCTCGGTCGGCAGAGAGGCGCCGGTGGGAAGGCCGCTGCTGGCCTCAAGCCCACTCCGAGGCCGAAGGGGGGACCTGAGGGGATGTGCAAGCCTTCAGCCGTATCCACCAGCCCCAGCTGCGATGTCTGAGCGCTCATATCACCAACAGAATCAGAGGTGCTTTTGTGCCCTTGAAATGCTGGACGCATGGAGTGCGACAAGATGGTTTGATGCAATTTGTCTATGTTTTCCTGGGCTCCCGATTGGCTGGGTCGGGACCCCGTTGCTCAGCACAAGCAGAGTACAAGCATCATGACATGGATCTTCTCGTGTTCGTTTTTGCACTTCTGTTTGCAGGCACTGTGCTGTAGACTCCAGACAAGGGCCATGACCCATGTGATCTCGCCCATCTTGAGCAAGAGTTGCCTCTCCCTTTCTGGAAGGCTGGCCACCTGCGCAGGGGCCAAGCTGGAGCGGGCCTCAGGATTTCATGAGTCGTGGTATGGTGGCGGGTCCTTACAACAGAAAACAGGGCTTACCAAGAGATTCTATCAACAGGAGTACAATTTTCGAGTCAGGGCACCTCGCAGACACCCAGCGCCCTGCTAGAGAGCCTGACTTATAACTTCGGATGTCACCACCTGCACGGTGGCCCAACCCCTGCCTTTGATGCTCAGAGAGGCTTGCACGGCGGCAGCCGATGTGGATCCATGCAAAGGGACGGACTGCCTCGGGTTGCTTGGACGTGAAGTTCAAGCTCCGCTAAGACTGCCTTGAGGAGCTTCGATAGCTCAGGGGCCGGACGGTGTTTGATGTTTGCTGCTCCAGAACCGAGGCATCATGCATGCATGGGCTCTGGCTACAGGACTGGGGCTCGGGAAATGCGATGGTTGCAGCGAGCAGAAATTCCAAAAGGCATGGGTTTCAGATCTGGGTCGGCATGACCACGAGTAGCCATCGAGGCCTGCCTTCCGGACGAAAGCATAATGTCCTGTCGAAGGCATTTGTTGTGAGGGTCAGGTTTGTCGAAAGGGCAGTCACGGATCCGCGACAAATATATGCGAGGACCACAATGAATTAAAGTACATCTAGCATTTGCGGAGAATGAGCAGCATAAGATACCAGACAATGAAACAACTATGTGCATGAGTACATACAAGCGTACGTACAAACGTACATACAGACGTGCATGCATACATATAAATAGACATAGATATAAAATAGATATAGATATATTGATACACACAGACGTGTAAACAAAAATGACGTGGATCATGCAGATATGTACCGCATATCTGAAAGGATGCTTCTCATGATGCTCATATGTTGTACATGCGTGCTTTGGCGGGGTTCTAGGACATGACAGACTGCAGTATCTTGTTCCAATCTGGCGTAAAGATGAAGACGTCTATCTGCCCTGCAGCTCATATCACACAACTGATAGTTGGCAGCACCCCTCTGTCTCTCTCTTTCGATGTCTTTCTCACTACTTGCATGCTACCCCTTACGTATGTTTTTCCGAAGCCTACCTGGAAGGAACTGTGCCATCAGAAAGTCCGGACCATCAGGCGCGGGCGCGGATGCCTTCAGAGATGATCGGGAAGCTCTGGGGTCTTTCGATTGTGGGACTTGTGGGAGGCTTGGTGCTTCCTTTGCTTGAAGCCACCGGTTGGACTTGCAAGGCCCTGTTTGTGCCACCGAAGAAGAGGGCTGCGTTCCAGCGTGCCGGGATCTTAATTCCGTCATACGCGAGTCGACGGTGCAGCATGTCATCACAATGCCCGGCAAAGTGTTGCGGGATTCTCTGGGGATCTGTCGAGGTGAAGGGGCTCGGGCCGGCAGCGCGGCTGACTGCAGGAACCTGCCGCGAGGGACCCAGTGTCGCGGAACCTACGTCGTCATCGACAACGTGGCCACCCAGTGTTTTGCCACGTCGGGGGCTCAGAAACGAGACTGGCACAGCGATATGGAATGTAATCGGCGCAAGCACAAGTCATAGTCTTGGTAGCGGCAAGATGCGGCAAGGAGACTAGCAGTGACAAACATGTCAGTCATGCCAGCAGGAGCAGTGCTGGTTCTGCTACTTGTTGGGAGTCATGAATATGGCCGCAAGAATGGTATTTCTCGACGCAATGCCAAAGGCTCGGGGAGGACGACGTGGAGGTCGAGTGTGAAAACGGTTCGCCTTGTGGCGACGCAGAGCGCGAGACCCTTTGCTGACATTGCGGTTTAGGGATGTTCAGGGTTTGGAGCTCGACCGCTGTGAGGCCAGGCTCTTGTGACAAACGGCGCTATCAAGCAAGCCCAACATATACAATCATAGACATGATAATCTAGCAAGACGTTGCGCACTTTGTGGATCCAGCCAAGCGCCGAGATTCATGCCAATGTGAGTCCCCGCAGCTGTTCAGAGTGATCCGAAGCCTACGACGTCCAAACTTCGTTCCCTACCTCTCTGAAACCTTGAGCCTCGAATGGGCTCGAAGCCAGGAGAAGAACCCCAGACCTCCTCTAACCGCGCCTGCGGCCCAGGAACCCGTATCAGGGAGCGAGGCAGGGTGCTATGCTCATATCAACCTCACGCCCTGCTGCTTTCCCGAGAGTGTCGTGGCACTAGTAGTTGCAGCCGCAGTAGCAGTAGCTGTAGTAGGAGGAGGAAGAGGAGAAGCAGGAGGAGGAGGAGGAGCAGCGGCAGCAGCAGGAGTAGCAGGGGCACTAGCAGCAGCAGTAGTAGCACACCGGATTTTGCGACGATGTCATGTGGGGTCTTGTGGGGCCTGTGATTTGTCGCAGCGATTCGAGCCGTTTTTTGGGTCCCAACATCGGGAATCCATCTCTCCCGCTCTTTCTCTCTGTTTCTCAGTCTCTCAGTCTCTCCCTCTCTCTTCGTAACTGATCAACACTTGCGCCTGCCAGGTAGCTCACAGTGATTTGGCTTAGCTGCCTGGGCCTATGGTTACAACGGTATGTTGAAGTTGATTCGGAATATCGTCTTTGGTTTCTGTTTTCATAGCTACCGAACGGCGACGTCCATGAGGCCGAATAAGCTAGGGCCAGCGAGGGCCAATGAGGGCCATGTCGCCTGGGTCGGCCGAATGCTTGTGCTCCTTATGGTGTCCACAGCACGTGAACAGAAGCTTCGCCGTACGACCCTTGTACGAAGAAGTGTGACACCATGGTCAGAGATCAAATCTGTGTGGGTTTCCAGCAACGATGTTCTGCACTAGAACAGTCGGTTCCGCGTTTTTTTGGCACTCGCTCCATCCTCTCGTGTTGGCTCAAGGAGTATGCAAGGAGCTGTAATTCTTCAAGCAGAGTATGAATGCTTTCCGTGTCGCGAAGTGGTGTTGGAGAGAACGAGGCGAGCACATGATAAAGATGGGATGCAAGTGCCTTCTAGGTTCTGTTATGACAACAACAAGCTGAACGTCCAAGTTTGCTGTCTTTCCGGGAGCCCGAACGCAGGGCGATGGAGACATGCCGCTTAGAGCAACAAGTTTCGGCAGGATAAGCAGATTGTTTTCCTGCACACCCTAAATCCTCAATCCTAGGCCCCAAGCTCTGCGCTGGGTGGTAGGCCAATATGGGAGTTTCCGAAAATTAGGGTACCTTATTTGGGGGTCCTTATAATAGGGATCCGATTATTTAGGGTACTATATTAGGGTCCCCTATTTTCGGAAACCCCCATATTGTGTCAAGCAGGCTCGAAGGTCTCTGCTTCGCGTGTGGCGGAGGAAGAGGGGAGCAGGAGTAATTGCTTGAAGCGAAAGAAATGGCTCCCACACCCAGAAGATGCAATAGCAGACGTATGCGAACCGTTCAACAAAAACACCCTAAATCACTGAATCACCTTGAAATCCTTGAATCCCCCTACACACCAAACCAAACCTTAAACCCTATCCCAGGCTGCTCCGCATTTCTCACGAGACTGCCCAGAGGCCGCTCCTGGATCCGAGGCCAAGCGTCAGTTGTTGCTGAATCTTTATGTCCTGCTCGCTATGGCGAGTTTAGGTCTTAGGGTTTAGGGGTTTAGGGTTTAGGGTTTTAGGGGTTTAGGGTTTTATGGGTTTAGGGTTCAGGGGCCTGTTTAAGCAAGCCGTGCTCCACCCTGGGCCGAGACATTCCTTTTGAGAAGCAGGGCCGGTTAAGCACTTTCTGCCCCGGACTACAAAGATGTGGTAAATTCGGTAGGGGCCCCTCACGACGATGTTTCTCCACTGCCCGGTCGGCTGCTCTAATCGCCCTAATCACACAACCCTAAATCCTAAACCCTCCGTAGGCCGTACTCCCTCAACAACAAAATGCGCCTGAATCCCAAACCCCTAAACCCCTAAACCCGTAAACCCCTAAACCCCTAAACCCCTCAACGCTAAACCCTAAGCACTAAATAAACCCCTAAACCCCTAAACCCCAAATGTCGGGTATTTTGAGCTTCGGAGGCGATCGTCCCGTGCGCACCGCCTCTGATGGCCCGGTGGACCCAAAGGCGGCCTTAAGGCTTCTGAAGGAAGGCCGGATTTGGGGTTTTTGGGCTTTTGGGGCCCTAAGGGCTGTTGGGGTTTAGGGCTTTTGTTGGGCCTTTAGGGTCTTTGAGGCTTTAGGGGTTCAGGGTTCGGAGTTTATTGGTGTTCAGGAATTGGGGTTTCGGTTTGGGCCGCCCGGGTTTAGGGGCGAAGGAGGAGCAGGATTGTCTGGCAAGTGCAGTGATGATCATCAGCATCACCTGCGCAAGTGCAAGTGTGAGCAGGAGAAGAAGCATGAGTATTCGCAATAAAGGCGATGCGAGGATACCAGTATTACGAACAGGAAAAGACGCCAGCATTTTTCAGAATGACAAGCTGGTAAGAAGCGGGTGTTGAGTCGTACTTGTTGGTATCAGCAACGATGGTGACGATGATGAAGGTGACGGTGCCGGTGCCTGTGATGGTGGTGGTAGAGATGGTGACGATAATGATGGTAGTGATGGTGGAAGCGAGTGTGCAAATGATAACTGATGTGGTGCCATGCTGATGATGGTGGTGATTCATGATGGTGATTTCGACGAAGATGACGAAGTTGATGGTGATGATAATACTACTGATGATAATGGTGGTGATGGCATTTCTGTTTGTATTAAGTCTGATTTGGATGTAGACTTGGATGATGATCGCGACTACAACGTATTTTTCAGGCCGAGGCAGCAGCAATGATGCTCTGGACCTTTCTTCTTGCTTCTTCTCCTTGCGCTCTGTCATTTTGAAATGAGGTGTTTTGGATGTTGCGATGTCCAGTTTGTGTGCGGTCAACAGATTGGCTTGATGGCATCAAAGCTCCAAGCATGGGGCCGACCACGAAGCCCCGGAAGCAAAAACCTCTGAAACCGAAGGAGCCACTTGCGCCAGGCAACGAACGCTTTCTCTCGGGCCACGCCTTTGGCTCCTGCACGGATGAGTCTCAGCTCCGGCAGTTGGTCGAGAAAGGCCAAGCTCCACCCTCGGTTCCCGGACCCTTGAAGCCCGAGAAGTGCTTGGCTTATGGAACTCCTAGGTGATGTTTGAGTCAAAGGGGCATCTCCGGGTCTTCTAGCTTTCCGGTCGCAGCAGACCCGGGACGAGGAGCTTAAGCCCGAAGCACCGGGGTGACCGAGGTCTTAAGCTCAGAACGAGTGGCGAAAGCATCCATATCAAGCAGAATCGTGCATTACCGCTGAGCCAACACAGAACAGAAGAGGGGTAGACATCAGATGTTTCAGAAGACCGCAGGAGAATCTTGTGTCGCTTCACTTCCCTACGCAGGCCAGGCACCCCACACGGCGATCATTGGCTGTGCAGACTCCAGAGTGCCCCTGGAGAATCCTGGGAAAGAAAAGTATTTTCAGGGTTTAGGGTTAGGGGTTGAGGGCTTGCGGTTTAGGGGTTCGCGTTTTGCAGTTTCACGGGTTGGGGCTTCATTGGGGGGTGAATGTGAGTTCTTAGGGTTCTGTCTTGATGGGTCTGGGAGTTCTGAGTTCAGTGTCCATAAGTCGAAGCTTTTAATATGCAGGAGGTTTTGCGGTGGGTTCTGAGACCGAAGAGTAGAATCCGAGGACAATTTTCGACAGCATGCCCGGGGACATCTTTGCCCTGCGGAATGCAGGGAACACCTGTACCCATGCAGAGGGCAGCATGGTGGGGAGCTTGGAGTTCTGCACAGGTGGCCTGGGCACTCGCATGGTTTTAGTTCTGGGTCACACGACCTGTGCTTCGATTTACGGGGCGACAAGCACCTACTTCAACAACAGTCGGGGCAATCCGAGCCCGACCCGTTCAGCGCTTGATGGCCTGCTCTATGACCTGAGTGTCGTGGCTGAACAAGCGGCCTATGACATGGGTCCTCATGCGGCCCAGGAAGATGTTGCGGCCCATGCCGTTAGGATAAACGTCTTCCACACCATCGACTTTCTGTTGAAGTTCAGCAAGTCGATTAGGGAGCGGGTCTCGTGCGGCCAAGTGGAGATACAAGGAGCCCTTTATCATATGGACACTGGCGTCGTCGAATTCATGGGCCGCTCGCCGCGGCAATCTTCCTTGCTGACCTGCAAGGTGGCCATGCCGCCATCCGTCGAAGCGCTTTCGAGTGCGGCGAGCCCACGAGGTCGTGTGCGAACAGGTGTAGATAATCGGGTGCCGGCACTGGAGGCGCTGAACCTTCTAAAAGAAGGGAACGAACGCTTCGCGGTGGGTGCTCCCATCTCCAAGATGAGCGCTTCTTTTGTGGTGAATGCTCTCGCCAGCGCCGGCCAGGCACCGTTTGCCGCCATCCTGGGAAGTGCTGATTCTCGTGCTCCCATTGACTCCCTCTTCGATGTGATGCCAGGCGATCTGTTCGTCTTGCGAAACGCAGGAAACACCTGCACCCATGCAGAGGGCAGCATGGTGGGGAGCCTAGAGTTCTGCGTCTCCAAGCTCGGGACAAGGCTGATCCTGGTGCTGGGACATACAGACGACCTGGCCGTCAGAGGTGCTCTCGCCACACACCTCTACGGCAGCACTTCGAAATCCATCGGCTCTGCTTTGGAAGGCCTCCTAATGGACTTGACTTCTGTAGCAGAGGAGGCCTGCAAGGACTTGGGCCCTTTTGCCGACCTGGATCAGCTTGCGGCGCATGCGGTCCGGGTGAACGTCTTCCACTCCATGAACTTTCTCTTGAAGTTCAGTGCTCTTGGCTGCAGAATTCAGGAGCCCCGACTTTCCCTCCACTCTTCGGCTTGCGTTTGACGTTTGTTGCCAGGTGAGACGCTCAGAGGCTTCGTGCGCAGTGGCGAGCTGATGATCCAGGGTGGCATCTACCATCTCTCCACGGGACGGGTGGAGTTTCTTGGCCGCTCGCCACAGCAGGAAGAGCTTCTGTCCTCGAGCATCCAGCTACCGCCCTCCATGTCGGCCTTGCCCATTCGAACCACAGGAGAAAAGAGAACGTGGGGATGGTGAGAGGAAGAGAAGCAGAACCAACGGAAGATGTGTTCGCCTTGTCAGTTGATGCCCCTGTGACTTGGAGCAGGAGACGATCCTATCCTGCCGGAGCAGTCCCTTCAGCTACTCAAGGCGCTCGAACAGCGGGGTCCACCTGTGAAAGAGTCGTCGCAGTAGCAGTCGGCGTAGCTGCAGCAGTAGTAGTCGTTGTTGTAGTCGCCTCATAGTGCGGGGAGTAGTATGTAGGTAGTACTAGAGAGGCCCGCAGTGGTAGGTAGTGGTAGCTGGGAGGTGGTGGCGGTGGTGGTGTTGGTGGGTGGTGGGTCTGAAATACCGTGGAGTGTAGTCGTGGCATCACGGCTGCCGTGGTGGTGCTGGTAGAGGAGTCGGTGGTAGGCGTCGCTCCTGTTGGTACTGCCGCCGCTGCTGCTCCTGCTCCTGCTGCCGCAGTTGCTGCTGCCACTGCTGTTGCTGGTGATGGCTGCTGCTCCTGCTCCTTGTGCTCGTGCCGTGGCTTCGCTGTCGTTCTGTTGTTGTGTTATGTTCTGTTGTTCTTGTTGCGGCGGCTGCTGCTGACAACTTATCGGGGTTTTCACCACTTCGCTTGCTACACTTTTGCTTTCTTCTTCTTCTTAGTGCTTATCACCTCACGTCCAAAAAGCACCGGCGAGGCAGGCAATGAGCGTTTCGCAGTTGGCATGCCGCTGGCTGGGGGCATCACTGCCGAGATGAGGACTGACCCTGCAAAACTTCGCAACACTTTGAGGTCGGGAGCGGGGGAGTAGCTATTGGAGGAGAGCATGTTGTTGTTTCTGGTTGTTGTGTGCCCACCATGCAAGTGCTCTTTGAGTCCGGTGCCAGGAAAGCCTTGGCAAGAGAGGGTCAGGCGCCCCATTCGGCCATTGTCGGCTGCGCTGACTCGCGAGCTGCTCTGGACAGGGTTTGGGATTCGGGGTTGTGCTCCGAGAAAGGCCCCAAACTCCTGATCATGCAGGAATTCGGGCAAAGGGTAGAAGCTGCTGAAGGGCTTCAGGATCTTTCGGTTTTTATGTGCAGCTGTGACTGCACTGGAAAATGCCGCTATTGGCATCCAAGTCTAACGTCGTATCGAAACAAGCATGTCGGGCATGTCGCCCTGATCAGGAAGCGATTTTCGATGCAATGCCTGGCGACCTTTTCGTGCTGCGAAATGTGGGCAACAGTTTCACGCACGCAGAAGGAGCCCAGTGGGCATGTTGAGCACGCTCTCGGACAAGAGACAGATCTCAAATCTAGCAGGTTTCTAGCATTCTAGCAATCGCCGAGCCCATCTCAATAAACGAGCTCTCTGAAACCCTCAAGCTCCATCGCAAAAGCCTCCTATCGGACCAGAGTGTGCAGGCAGTGTCATGGGCAGCCTGGAGTTTTGTACTGGCACGCTGTACCCGGGATGAATTCCTTGCGGTCGTGTGGTTTTAGAGCATGACGACCAGAACTGCAACCACAAGTCTAAGCAACGAATCAGGCAGACACCGCTGATCTTGATTCTGGGCCACACGAGCTGTGCGGCCATCAAAGGGGCTACCCATGCCTATCTGAACTCCACTCAGAACAAGGTCTGGCGTGTGAGAAGGGTTTCGGGAGCAACCCTTGGCCATGCACATTCCTGTCTGGAGTAGGTATGCTTGGAACAGATGCCTGACAACCCCAAGCCCTTTGAAGATTTCTGGTCTTTCCTGCCCTATGCAGGTGAACAAGGCCGGCAGAGCGCTGGGCTCTTTGCTCGAAAGCCTGAGCACTGTGGCCCAGTTTGCAGCTGAAGAATTGGACGAGCCACTTTGGCTGCGACTGCAGGGTGGTTAGGTCTCAACTGCTTGGGGATTTTTGGAGTTCTTGCCACATCAGGCTAGGTATTGAGGCGGGTACACAGAAATTTCTAAGCTTGATGTATGTATATGAAGAGCACCCTGACACCGGCCCCGGTGAAGCTCCTGTCAGGGTTTTGGGCCAACCAAGGGATGCAACCGAAGACGAGATTGCTGACTTGGCCGTGCAGATGATCCCTTGACGTCTTGGCAGCTTTTGTCTTTTTTTATCAGGGGCGTCTGGGTGGGCGGTTGGGAGAGAGAGGGGGAGGACGATAGTAGCACGAGAGTCAACACTCCGTTCACGGACTTGCAGTTGTGGGCAGGAATGTCTTCCACACCATGGACTACCTGCTGACCAATTCGGCTTTCATCAGTGACAAGGCTGGTTTGGCATTGTGGTTTGTGTCAGGGTGCGGCCAGTGGCCTACGCCCCTGAGTGCAGGTGCAAAGGGGGGAAGTGGACATCCAGGGAGGAATCTACAACCTCGAGTCCGGCCGCGTGAACTTCCTCGGGCGCAGTCCGAACCAATCGAAGATCATCAACACCTTCTAAAGCCAGGCCCAGCTGGGTCGCGTCTGCTTTCCCANNTTTCCCCCCCCCCCCCCCCCGGACTCGGGCACAACAGCCAAAAGCGCTCAAAGTCAATTGCAGTTTGTTTGAACTGGGGAGTTGCTGTCGTCAGGCCCGGGAAGTTCAAAGGGAAGATCAGACTTCACCGATGTTAATGAGGAAATGTTTAATCGGATGGCTGTGCAATTACCAGCTATATATGGGCCGAATTTTTAAGCAGAGACATCGTGAAGACCATGTTTCTTGCTGGGCGTGGGCACATCTCCTTCTTTCTCCACAGTGTGCGAGATTCGAGGGGGAGCCCAGGAAACGGGAGCCCGGGGGTCGTTCGTTTGAATGCGGCTCTTGTCCCGTGCTGCAAGGCTCAGCATACTGGCCAGACCCGCAACAATCGGAGAAAGTCTGCTGGCTGATCGGCACTCGCCAGTATCCCGCGTTACGCCCATGTCTCAGATTCCCATTTGGCTGTCATTGGTCGTCACGGTCCACTCCTCAAGCTTGTGTTTGAGAAGCTAGTCGCGCCCCCTTGAAGCCTTTCAGCGCTCTGCTTTGCAATGCCGGCCAACTCGGAGAAGCAGCACCTGTCCATCGTNNTGCGGCCATGTCGACAGCGGCAAGTCCACGACCACTGGACGCCTCATCTTCGAGCTGGGTGGGCTGCCAGAGCGTGAGTTGGAGAAGCTGAAGCAGGAGGCCGAACGTCTGGGCAAGGGCTCCTTCGCCTTTGCCTTCTTCATGGACCGCCAGAAGGAGGAGCGTGAGCGTGGTGTGACCATCTCCTGCACCACCAAGGAGTTCTTCACCGAGAAGTGGCACTACACTATCATTGATGCGCCAGGTTCGTGTTCCGTGTTCTGTCCTTCAGACTATGCACAGATTTCTGTTCCAAGCCCCCCAATATTGTACAGCTAGCCCCCAATGTTGTACAGCTAGCTTATGACATCAGTATAGGGTATGTAGACATCTTTCAAGGATTCCAAGTATCGCGTGCAACGTGCCTGTGCGAAAGTCATGGTAGGCCATCGCGACTTCATCAAGAACATGATCACTGGTGCCTCCCAAGCCGACGTGGCACTGATCATGGTGCCCGCAGATGGAAACTTCACCACGGCCATCGCCAAGGGCAACCACAAGGCAGGAGAGATCCAAGGCCAGACCCGTCAGCACAGCCGGCTGATCAACTTGCTCGGCGTGAAGCAGATTTGCATTGGAGTGAACAAGATGGACTGCGACACTGCCGGCTATAAGCAGGCCCACGGGATGGGAATCAAACAAACAAGCCAAACAGGGATCAACAACAACATCAAAACTCCAGCGGGGATCCAAAAAATTTCAAACTCAAGATGCTGTAAGTTACAGCACTTGCAGACTGTGAACACCCACAAATTGCATTACACTACTTGCAGACCGTGAACACCCACAAATTTTGGTTCTCTCACGAGGCAAGGCGGGAAGGAAGGAATGAAGGAATGAAGCAAGGAAGGAAGGAAGGAAAGAAGGAACATACCTCCTATAATCTACATACATACATATACACATGCATACAGTGCATTACCTTTTTTGGTCCGAAATTTGGTAATCTGTGGACCCTCTAGGACATGTTGTATTCGGGCTTTTGTTGATCCCTGTTTTGGTTTTGATTTGAACCTAGGTTTTTGGCTTGTTCACCCCTGTTTGTATTGTTTTGATCCCTCAGCTCAGGCCCGCTATGATGAGGTGGCCAACGAGATGAAGAGCATGTTGGTCAAAGTTGGCTGGAAGAAGGACTTCATTGAGAAGAACACCCCTGTAATGCCGATCTCCGGCTGGATGGGTGACAACTTGCTGAAGAAGTCCGAGAACATGGGCTGGTGGAAGGGTCAGGACGTGGAGGTCGGAAGCGAGAAGATCCATGTGGACACCGTGTATGACGTCCTGGACAAGATGTGCCGTGTGCCTGAGCGACCCGTCAGCGCTCCCATGAGGATGCCGATCTCGGGTATCTACAAGATCAAGGGTGTCGGTGATGTGTTGGCTGGCCGCGTGGAGCAGGGAGTGGTGAAGCCCGGAGAGGAGGTGGTTTTCCTGCCCACCCACACCGCCTCCAACCCTTGCACAGGCAAGGTGTTCACCGTGGAGATGCACCACCAGCGTGTGGACTTTGCGAACCCCGGCGACAACGTCGGCCTCAACATCAAGGGTTTGGACAAGAACAACATGCCGCGCTCCGGGGATGTCATGGTGTACAAGAAGGACACTACGCTCGGCCAGACGAAGGAGTTCGACGCGCAGATCCAGGTCCTCGACATCCCCAACGAGATCAAGGTTGGCTACTCCCCCATCGGTTTTGTGCGCTGCGGCCGTGCCGCATGCCGTGTGTCCGCCCTGAAGTGGAAGATGGGCAAGGAGAGCTTTCCGGGTTCAAGTCATTCTGAAACCAAGAAGTGACGAAGAAGTGGTTAACGTGTAGACTCTCGTAGACCTTTCCTTTGAGATTTCAGGAGACCGGTGGCAAGAAGATGGAGGACCCGCACTCCCTGAAGTCCAACGAGATGGCCCAGTGCAGCTTCCAGCCACAGCAGCCGTTGGTCTGCGACACTTTCAAGAATTGCGAGGGCCTCTCCCGCGTTGCCTTCATGGATGGCAACGGTGTGGTCATGTTGGGCAAGGTGGTCAGCTGCGAGCGCAAGGGCGAAGACGACAAGGGCGGCAAGAAGAAGTAAGAATGGCACCAGTCATAGGACAAGGACCCACTGGCTCGTGACCAGCACTAAGAGTCCGGAGCCATACTTGGATTTTTTCCATGAGTTTTGAGCAGTTGGCATCCCCGACGAAGCTGACGCGGCCAGTCATACAGTGATACAGACACATCATGGAAAAGGGTGTTCAATTGCACATTCTTCGTCTCCTAGACCCGCCGATAAACTCGATTCTCCAGCTGTGGAGCCGACATGCCTCAACTGTGGCCCAAGCCCCACTCCGGGCTTCATGGAAGTTTAGGCCCTCGCCGCCTGCGACCAGCCAACAGCTGCACTGTGCCTCGGATGGATGGCACAGGACTTTCGCGAGATGCTGGAGGCTCTGGGGGAGACTGGACGCAAATGGGACGGCCTTTGGCAGCTCGTTTGGTGCTTTGACAGTTCGAAGCGACAGCAGAGGCTCACAGACCCCGGGGTAACCCCGAAACAGGAAGCGATGCTAAGGTGATGTGGAGGCGCGAGGTTGGAAGCTGCCGAGCGCCGGCATCTTGATTGACAACGTGCCTTGGCAGCTTCCCAGCAGAGTGCCTCGAGCTGAAAGAACTAAGAAGATCGCGATGTAAACGTCCTGCAGGGGCCGACCCTGAGATGGGAATCCGGCCACTTCAAAGCGTGCCCAGCTGCGACCGTGGAGCAGTGCCAGGTCGTGCTGAGGTGCCCGGATGAAAGGACCTTCGTCGACCAGTGCCCGGGCGTAATCCGAAACTGGAAACCCCACCCTCGACAAACTCACTGTCGGAGTTTTTTTTGCAACGAGAGCGTGCGGCTGCAGGTGTCGGAAAGGGGCCGAGAGCCCGATCAAGACGTTGCTCTTTGGTAATTTGGACCTCCGGGGAAGCCGCCATTTGCTGTCCTTGGCTTTACAAGTCCTTCCAGGAGCTTCAGGATCTGAAGAAGGGGAGGAAGGACAAAGAGAGGGCGCCAGGGACTGCTCTTGGGACTTCCGGAAGCTCCAAGACTTCAAGCCATCTGCCACGCAGCTTTGTGTTGTTGGTCTCAGTGCTGCCGCCGCTCTCGCTGTCGGTGGAGTCTGGGCTTATGCTGCGGCCTCCTCTCTCAAAATGTCTGCAACGGGTTTTGCCGTGCTGCCATTTGTTGGTCCCGAAGAAGACGAAGGCCCACCTGACGAGGTCGCAGCCGAGGAAGAAAGGCGACTGCCTTCCTGAAAATACTCGGATGCGCCATCATGCGGCTGGCCATGGAATGCCGGCATGAGCGGGCCAAAAACAAGCCCCTGCAATTGCACGGTTGCTGCATCGGGGCACAAGCTTGCCGTCAACCTGGCAGTTATCAGAGCCAGGTGCATTCTCGCACCCCTGAGGCTCCAGTTGGGCACACCCCTAAACTGACCAGGCAGGCAAGCGAAGGCCGCAGCAAGTACTGTACCCAGCCAGATCCAGCCAGTTAAGGCATATCAACGACATAAAGAGGTCTCAGTCTTGGCAGCAAGCAGATGTGATGCAGTCGCCGCACAGGGCACAGTAGGGTTTGGATGGGATACGGCGATCTCGCATGGCATCGAGGCCGTGCAGAACTGTGTTGCAGTGGTTCCGCGATGTGAACGAACGGGTCCAGCCTACCTTGGCTTCGAGGTTTCAAGTGTCAGGTCCAGGAGTTGGGGATTCGGCGCTGGCACCAGTTGGAATCCTCAGAACAGTGCCTTTACACCAGGGCCGCGGCGTGTGCCCGTCCGGCCACTGCGCCGCTGCACCTGGCATTGGGACAGGAGGGGTTTCAGCAGTCCGTGACGGTCTTTGCCGCTGTCTGCAAGCCCGTTTGTATGCAGGGACGTGTGTCTATGAAGTGTATTTTCAACATGCCGGATTCGGGCGTGGGGAGGCATAGCAGCTGGGCACGGCCGGCGAGCCTGGAGGCGGGAGACACAAGTGAGGGCAGGAGCAGTAGCCGTTGCTTCGCCTCGCGCCTCGTTGGTGAAAGCCGCGGAAGGTGTATTAAAGCCACTTAGACCTGAGCCCTGATAGGAGCTCCGGCGATGCCTCGCTCACAAGACCTGGGCTGTACGCCGGCAGGCTGTTCCTCGAGCTCATTTTCACGGCTTCACCAGTAGCTGTGCTTTGTCTTTCGGTTTTGAGGCGTTGCGGCGATCTCCCCGCTACCGTTTAAGGCAGCAGAGGTTCGCGACCTGTTGTCTGAGGGATCTATGCAGTCTTGGGGGTTGCATGAAGCATGGGGCCATTGTAGAGCAGAGGTGGACACCGCTGCTTGTGCGAGGCTCGGAGAAGCTGGTATCAGAGATTCCCGTCCATGCAATCGGAAGTACCACTCCTGGGGTATGACCCGAGGTGGCTGTGAGTCCTCGCAAGGACAAGCTTCAGCGAGCGCCGGCAGTGTTGGTACACGGCTGAGTTTCTTCGTTGCCTCGGGCCCTACTGCAAAGCTTTGTTTTTTTTGGGTGCGCAGCGTGGGCAAAGGCACTGTCCAGTCGGAAGGCGAATGGGACAGCCAGGACCACAGATGCACAAAGGAGCTACCCTGTCGACGATGCGTTCCTCCTTCCTAGGCCGCTTTGGCCAACTTTCGGAGGTCTCTGATTGGCGAAGGCAGGTGACCTACGAGAGCGACGATGGCTCTTCTTTCCGCAACCCGCAAGGCTGGTCCGAGCTGGCGCGGGCCTTCGTTCAGGGTCCCGAGACCTTGGCAGGCAGTGCGCTCCCGAGCGGCCAGCCAGTGTTCTGATGTTCAACGCTCAGAAAGATGGGCGACTACCCGCACCAGAGCCAGACTAAACGCAGAGGCCACTTGGGTCGCCACCGCCGGTCGTGGACACTGCTCTTGCGCAGCGGAGGCGTGTAGAATCATAATGTATTCACCAAGACGGCACAGCTATGCAGACATGCATCATTTGCCTTTGCAAGGTCCCTTGTCCGAGATGAGTGCGGGGACCCAGGGCAGTTTCGGTGCACTCTTGACAATGCTGGGCTCGGCTAAGGAGAGGGCGCAGTCGATGTGCACTGCCAGTTCGGCGAGAGCTGGTTTCGCCTGCACAGCACACAATGGGGCTCGAGGCCTGCACAGGTCTGTCAGCCAGCAATATCATGTTGAAGAGTTGAAGAGTAAGCAAGCGAGTACATGAATAAAGTACATGCAAATAAACAAATACACACACACACACACACCTGTCTATCTATCTATCTTATCTATCGATCCTACCTATCTATCCTATCTATCTTTCTATCCTATCTATCTATTTATCTATCTATCTATCTATCTATCTAGCTATCTATCTATCTATCTATCTATCTATCTATCTATCCTGTCTACTTATCCTTCGATCCTATCTATCCTATCCTATCCTATCCTATCCTATCCTATCCTATCCTGTCCTGTCCTATCCTATCCTATCCTATCCTATCCTATCCTATCCTATCCTATCCTATCCTATCCTATCCTATCCTATCCTATCCTATCCTATCTATCCAGCCTTCGAGCTATGCTATCCTATCCTATGCTATCCTATCCTATCTTATCCTACCTATCCTATCCTATCCTATCCTATCCTATCCTATCCTATCCTATCCTATCTATCCGATCCATCTATCTATCCTATCCTATCCTATCCTATCCTATCCTATCTATCCTATCCACCTATCCTATCCATGTATCCTATCTATCTATCTATCCATCCTATCTGTCTATCTATCTATCTATCTATCTACCTATCTATCCACACCTATATGTGATGTATATCTATATATATATATATATATATATGTATATGTGAGAATGTATAGGTGTATGTATATGTATATGTACATGCCTATGTCTCTGTATCTACACACGATAAGGCAGTGAAATAGGTCATGTCCATGGGTGTCAGAACTCATTTCAGGATGCTGCGGGCATAGAGTGGAGGATCGCAGTTGTAAGCGAGCAGTCTGCAATGTCCCAGGGAAATCCTCGAGGGCTGGCGATGTCCCCTGTGCTGTGTCAGCATCTCGCCTGCCCATGTCTCAGTGAAAGTAAAGTCCAACATGTCACCTCTCCGGCTTCGAGTCTTCGAGGCCTTGATCTCACCCCAGATCATCGACAAGAAGGTGGGAGGACAAGCATGTCACACAAGTGCCAGTTGGCCGGGTAGCACTTCCGTCCCAGGCTGCTCGTCTCTTCTGGCAGTAGTCGCGCGCGACACCCGCACAAACCGCGCAGCCTCCAAAATTTTATACCGTAGGATCCTGACCATAAACTTGGTTGACCGAAAACGGTACTACAATGGAGACTACAAGTGGTGTTTAGGTTCGAGGTCGAAGGTCTAATGCGTGCAGGGTTCAAGTATTCGAGTTCTGGGGTTGGCAACTTTGGTGGAGGCTTGGATGGAGGCTGGTCCTAGTTTGTGGGGTGTGCAGGGACTGATGTTGGATCTGACATCATAAGACGAACACGGCTTTGGAATCTACATATATCTGGCAAAAAACTATGTGAAGTGCGGCGCCTGTTGAGTTTGTCGAAGACCGAAAAGCCAAGGAACATACATCCAAGAGACATCTTCATTCTGTCCGAACCAAAAACAGATACCGTACCTAAATCGCAGCCTTTTGAAAGGGTCGTCAGAGGCTTTGGGCTTTGGGATCTCTGACTGCGAGGACTTGCGCTGTGAGCTGAAGACCCAGGCTGGCAACGAGGCTGGCGGGCGGCACTGAAGCCCTGAGTGTGAGTGCCCAAGACTCCCACCAAGCATGTGTTGGCGGCTTCTTAGAGTCCGCCCTTTGCAGGGTCTTAAGCTTTCGTACGAAACGGGGCACATTGATTTCAATCATTCCCATAGCTGAGCGACAGTCCTCTACCCTGAACCCGGAGCTGTATCTAATGTAGGGGCCTAAATAAATACCTATACTATTTTGGGGGTTCCTTAGTATAATTAGAGTATATTATACCCCAAAACCTTGTTCTAATTATTAAGGCCCCTACATTACATTTCTGCGGCTCCGTTACGCATTCGATGACCCACTGCAAGTGTTGCGCAGGGCTGCCCTGCGCGTCTGCGGCGCCGTTGGGCCTGCGAGGCACAGCAAATAGCACAAGGCATAAATAGAGGGGCCTTAGTAATTAGAATAGGGTTTTGGGGCCCAGTATACTATAATCTTGATACGGAGCCCCAAAATATTATAGGTGATCTGAAGCCTCTACAATGGTGAAACCGCCACTATGGCACTGGCCTGTAGAGTCCCGAGGCCGAAACCTCAATCTCCAGATCATGAATCGATTGCTGAGGCTTCGGACGACATGGCAAAGGCGAGGGCAGTTGATACTCCTGTGATGCTTCTGACACATCCTGCGACTTCCGTGGTTCTGATGTGTTCGTCTGTCCATCCATCTATCTGTAGTAGATGTGATACAGTCGCGATTTTGGAGGGCAACCCTGCGTGGACGAACAGTGGACATGACTACGTAAATGGACGTACGGTTATTTGTATGCATGCATGGATGCATGTATGCGTTTACATATGTATTTGTGTGCAAGTTCCCTCTTGCTTACTGTCTTGCAAGGATTATGGATTCCTAGAGCTACTTATCGTGCTAGGGACTGTTGTATGTTGCTGCTGCTGTAGTGGCTGCGGCACACTAGATGAAGGAAGCACGTTAAGATGCAGAAACGCTCTTCTCCTCGTCGATGAGGTTTCATGCGTGTTCTATTGCCATGTTCAATGTGTGTTTCCCACCGAAGAGTGTCTGGAGGATTGGTTGGGCTTTGACTGGCTCGGCTTCAAGGAGGACAAATCTCCAGTAGTGCAAATGTCAGTCACGGTCACGCAGAGAGTGCCTAAGGTGAGCGCCGCGACAGGAGTAGCAACATGCACAAAGAGAATCACAAGAATCGCAACCATACTTGCCATGAAACTTCCAGTGATCGCCTCATGTTCATCAAGGATACGAGCAAGAGGATGAGAATAAAGGGGCACTAAGGGGCTGGTGGTGATGTTAATGAGTCCAACGACGCCAATAGTAGACGCATGTAAGAACAAGAACATAGTGCAAACAGTGAAGCGTCAAGTTGAAGAGGTCAATGGTGGTGACACGTCAGCAAGTTCATGACCAATACTGAGAAGAACTCGTGTTCGTAGCGACAACAACTCGCGCGACGATGAGAGTAGGCCGACTCCTACTGCTGATTCTGCTGCTGCTATTGCTGTCGCTTCCGCTGTCAGTACCCAACGGCCCAACGTCATAAATTAATGCAATTGCCACATGCGGCACGCGAACGCTTGTGAATGTAGCCGGACTTGGATCTCCGACTGAGTGACCGGTACTTTGGACTTGAGTGCTGTGCTGCTTGTCGTTTGTACGAGTACCCTTCCTGTCTGACGCCCTTGCAGGCCTGCCTGCTGTCTGAAACTTCGACTGCTTTGTAAAAGACTTGTCTTGGTAGTGTATTCCGCGTTCGTCGGTCTCTGCCCATCCGTGTTTAGATGTGCACGTTGTGCAACACGGGGCCTGTGAAGGACCTGCGGAACGCGCTCGTCGAAGACGTCGACGCAGGCGGCAGCAAAAGCATGCAGGTCATGGATTTTTGTTTGCGTGGAGTGCTTCTTCCAAGCATGACGTGTTCGATAAGTGTTGAAGATGGGTTGTTGAGACGGTGCTTTCAAGCAGTGCACAAGCTAGCTGACATGTTTAGTTTGTTCACGCAGTAGCTGATGCCTGCTTGGCATTGTTCGCGACCGACATCCCACCGCAACGGTGCAGGGAATGATTGCCCAAAAGTTGTGTTGCCATCTCGAACGCCGTCTGGAGCTCGCACGAACCCGATCACCAGTCAGTGTAAATGAATGCACTGGAGGCCACAGGGAAGGATAGATTGTTGTCGATCGACTTGTGGGAGTTTGCGTGTGAAGCATGTATTGTTGTCTGCCCTGAACGTGTTCGTTTTGAGCAGGCACGGGCTTGTCCCGAATTCTGGCTGGGCGCGACCGTCTCTGTGCCGAGGCCGCGTCAGCTGTCCTTGTTCCCGTCCGTTTGTATTTTTGGATGTCACTGCTACTGTAGCATGACGTCAGTGTCCACAATCCCCGAAGCTCAAACACCTACTAGCTTATCTAGCAAAATTGTCGAAGCAATGAGCTTGAATCGAGGCACAGGCAGGGGCTTGCAAGATGCTGCCTCCCACAGCGCCGGCCTCGGATTTCAAGGTTGTCGCAGATCCCCGGTGGTGCTTCTGAGCTGCTGTTGCTCTGAGTCCTGCTGGGGCCACGACTTCCGATCCGTGGTTGCCGGCCATGTGCAGGAGGCTTTCGTGCAGTTGCCTCGGTGGCATGATCGTGTCGGGGATCTGCACCGCATCGCCAGGGACATCCATTCTGCCTGCTGGGCTGTGTGTGCATGCAGGGCTCCCGGTGCTTACCTCCGCTGCTGACACAGCAGACTTTGTTGCTGCGTGTGTGCCAACGAAGGCAGCTCATGATGCTCATGTTTGTGCGCCGGGAACCTACTGAGCACCTGTAAAGGTCATTTTGGTATGTCGTCAAGTTTTCCCGATGTGGGTCCAAAGTCGAGTCCGGCCTTTTCTTCGTTCCTACGTGTGATTCTCCTCGAGGTCAGCCTCTGAAAGGCACCTGGAAGTGGGAAGAAGCTTTCAGGCATTATGGATGCAGATGGGAGCGTCAGAAAGCAAGGGAAGTGTAATTTCAAGAAGCCCCAGATCTCGACTCAGCTCCTGACTGAGCTCCTTGATGTGCTGAAATGCACATGTGCGATACCGCAGCATGAACCAACACAGGCGTTCAAGCACACAGCTGCAAGCCAAACGAACAAGTAGACGTGGTGGACAGATACAAGCATGTTTGTGCATGCATGCATGCTGGCATGCATGCATGCTTGCATGCGTGTTTGTATACATAGTTGTATGTCATCGAGATGAGACCCGTTGGCCCGGCAGGCAAGCTTAGCCATTAGCAGAGACACTTCTACACTGCTAATGTTACCATCTGTACTTGTATCAGCATTACGACCACGGCCCTGAGCGTCGTTTTTGTTTTGAGTTAGGATTGTGGCAGTGTTGTATCCGTGACGGTTTTCTAGCTAGTGATATCTGGTGGTGGCTTATTAGCATCGTTTTGGCGGTGGTGACGTGAGGATGGTGAGGATGGTCAGGATGATTATTGCTAGTGGCCTTTCATTGCTGCCAGGTGTCTGCCGGAGAGCTTCGATGACTACCTTGCCCACGAGGTGCCGAGCTTCGCCCGAAGCCTTGTTGGCTCGAAGGAAATATGGAAGTCGTCATCCTCTTCGTCACTGTCGTCGTAGTCATCATGGTGTTGCATTTGTTGTTGGTGTCGTTGCTGGCGTTCGTCGTCGTCCTCGTCCTCAGTATCGTCGTCGTCGGCGGGTGATACCAGCAGCAGCCTTGGAAGCAGTATTATCTATTGACTCGAAAGCCGCAGCGCAGAGAACTCTCATGAACTTGCCAACCGCTGGTGAGAGGGACCCTCGGGCTCCTTCAATTTTCCTTGATGCCCGAGGGATCCGCTGCTCCGATCCAAAGAAAAGAACTCATGACAAAAGAGGGGTCCAAGAACCTCAGCGGAAGGTGCCTTGCTTTGTCCGGCCAACGCCCGGCCACAACTGGAGCCCTTCCGCGACTTGATCCAGTTTTAGAGAAGTTCCGCAGCGGTTTGGGACGAGTGGTTGAGCCTTTCAGGTACAAGGGGAAGGTTTTGATCCGATGAGGTTAACGAGTGGTTTTCTAGACGTGGCACCTCGCTCTTCTGTTGTTGGTGGGGTCGTTCTGCCAAACTCAACACCCTGCATCATGCGACGGCACTCTGAGCTCTGTTCCGTGCTCCGCTAAATGAGAACATCGAGTCTTACCTTATTACGGATACTCCTAGCAGAAGTGCCATGGAAATGAGCTTGAGAGCTTCGGCAAAAGGGAACTCGTGCATCACCGAACACTTAGAAGGAACCCATAGAGGGCAAGCAATGCCAAGGACACTTTGAGCCATGCCCTTCGAGTCTTGCTGCCGGCACTGCGCTGGATGGACACGAGGGATTTTCAGCTCTGTACACCATTCTTGCGGCGTATTGTGTGCTTCCTGGGCTCCTTTGGATGGGTAGTGCCTTCGGGAAAACTGGGTCTTTTCTGTTTAATTACTGGAAGAGGGTTCCATAAGGCTTGCGAGCTCTGTAGGCATGGGAGGGCGAATCACTTCTACCTCAAGAACAAAACAGGAGTAATAATCGTGACAATCCACAAGAGCGATCTCATCCAGGGATTATGCTTGCTTCTGTGTGATTTCTGCCGAGTTGCTCCCTGCTGCAGGACTTGCTAGATAGTGGATGGCCTTTCTTCCGCCTGGTTGCCCGCATATCGGCACATTGCTCAGCCGTGTTTCGGTACAAGCGGAGAGGTAGTAGAACACTCTACGTACACACACACACATGCGCACTTAACAGAAGTCATATGCTATGTTTGTCTGTATGCACGAGCTGTATCTATGCCCTATGCCCTGCAAGATTCAGCGTCAGACAGCAGCAGGAGGCAAAGCCGGAGCATCAGCAGCAGTAGTGGTAAAATTGTAGGACCAGTGGACGGGGTGCGTGTGCGCCGGACGGAGGAGGGGCCTGGCTCGTAAAACTAAGCTAACTAAACCGGAAGAGACGGGAAAGAGGGGGCAAGGACAAGCCTTCAGAGTCTCACGCTGTTAAGGACAGGACAAGGACGTGCTGCACACGCGGGGGAGGGAGGGCATGTTTTCCGTTCTTCAAGTCCTCTACAGGATGACGTGTGTATGCAACACAGATCTGCGCAGCATATTGTAGGCTGATAAGCACAAGCCCCGTCGGGAGTTTGTTGAACTCATTGTCGACTGAGGCGCAGGTCTGCGAGCAGAAGCTGGGTAGGTCGGTGCCTCCGGGCTTTGGAGGGCTCCTTCCCGGGATTTTGCGCCTGCGGGTAGAGACTTAATGGGAGCCCCCGGGCCCTAAGGTTTCGAGTTTAGTGTTGCGAAGGGAGGTGTGGTGGTTTCGAGAGGGCAAGGCCGACCCCCCATTCATCAGGAGCTCATCTTGAATCTGTAGTGGGCACTGCGCTCTTCCGGAAAGGCCCACTTCACATCCTATTCGTCCTACTCCCCAAATGCTCCGTGCTGCGAGTCGTGAAGTCAAGCCGGCACAGGTGTCCTGCGACTTGCGACACGGAGGACATGAAGGCAAGGTTGCTGACTGGTTTGAAGCTTGAGACGAGACACATTTGCATGCGCGACATGGTAGCCACAGTATTGCACGGGTCCCTGTGCACCATGTGTCCAAAGATGTTCTACCCGGTTTACAAAGTTCGTCGGGCCAGGTGCTCGCCGAGACCTTGGAGGAGAAGATGTTCGAAGGTCCGCGCGAACAGGTGCCGACCGGGCTCTGAGCGCATCTTCGGAGGGAGAGGGGTTCCGACGGGTTGCGCTGAGCAGTTGCAGTCTGGAGACTTCTGGATCTCGGCGTTCTGGTGAAGATGAAATCGTAGGCTTTCGAGCGTTTCGGCCATCCTGCTCTCCGAAGCCGAAAGCCCGAGATCAGGCAGCCAATTTTGAAGCCCAGACGGGCAAACCTGGAGCTTTGCCAACCAAGCATCGCGCGTAGAGCAGTTTCGGAAAGGTTTCCTTAAGTGAAGTGGCTGTTTGTGAGAAAATCGATTCGGGCAGCCCCCTTGAAGCAAATCACGAAGGCTAGACTCCGACGCCTAGCAGAGTTACCTACCCAAAGCCTGGGCTTCCGTCCGGGGTGTTGCGGGGCAGGGGGGGGGGCAGCTGGTGAGCCACGAGAGAGCGGCCTACTCCTTACAGTATGGAGGGGCGGCGCCGCCCCACGTTGGGCACCCGCCCGAGTCTTCGAACGCGAGCAAGACGTATTCGAAGGAGAAGCGAGGAGCCGCTGAATGCTGGCAGGAATGGCAAAGACATGCCTTATTTGCTCAATGCAGGGGCAACAGCCGGTTGCTAGCGTCGTGGCTCATCTGGAAGGTTTGCTTTGTAGCACAAGTGCACTGTATGCTGCAGAAGCTTTGCGATCCATACGAGACGACAGATCCCCAAAGCAAGACAATGCCCACTACAGCGAATACGCCTTTGAGCCAGGGGCCCAGAGACCGAAGCGACCTACTCGAGGCGGTCGGGACGCTCAGTCACTGCAAGACGAGACCGAGAGGATGATGAAGGAGAGTTGTGTCTACAGATTGGGGTTTGGGGCTCCAGGGTTTTAGGGCTTAAAGTTTAGGGAGTCCAGGGTCCCGTTGCTTGGTGATTGCCCAAGAGCCTTAAGAGTTTCTGAAGTGGTTGTGTTGTGCGAGCACTCGGTGTTCCGTCTCGCAAGGATCCTGTTTATACGCTGAAAAGTTAAGATTTCAAAAAGCGGCAGAGTGTGCAAAGGCAGCTTTGTCTTGAGTTTCAATCAGCATGTTCATCTAGAAGAAGGCAAGTGCCTGATTCTTTAGGAGGCTACTTGGTTTTCCAATGCGAGCGACGTTGACGGTTCAACCCAACTCTTAACTTTGGGCCCCGGAGTCTAAAGTCTGAAGCCCGAAACAGAGGCTCGCGCTGTGTGGAGAAGCGATGCGAAGGAGGCCGGCGCTGCCCCCCTTATTGCGGCTTCGTCTTGCGAGAGTTCACCCAATTTCCATCTCCGAAATGGGAAGACCCACCCCCAAAGACCCCCTGGAGAGTAAGATTCCATAGGAAGCTTGCTTGGCAGAATTCATTCAGGGTCCAGCAAGTCTATTTTTTTGCTCGATTCCTCCTCCTTTAAGCTTTAAGGACGAACGGCCAGAGGATCTCATGACTCTCCTAGAGGCCGACCCGGAACTCCGCAAAATCCGACAAAAGGGTTCCCACTTGGAGGTTCATGGGTCGTTCTAAGTAGGGTTATAAGTCCCTAATATGGGTTATAAGTATAGTTACCGTACTTATAACCCCACTTATCACTACCCATGAACCTCCAAGCAGAGGTGCAGGATAGCCTTGGCCGCTGTGGGGAAGTGGCCCTGGCGGAGGCGGCCGCGGTTCGCGCGGCGACCTACGCCCACACGGAGAGCCTCCAGGAGAATTTGGGGGGGGTGGGTTTAGAGTCCCTGGAGGTCCTTCCCGAGACTACCCCACACTTGGGGACCTTTCCACCCCAAAAGCGCAAGATTTGACAGTTTGGGCGCTTCGTTTCGAAGCAGCACACGATCTGCTCTCAAGCCTTTGTCCCAGTCTCGCATGGAGCCGAGCTCTGCAGACTTGTGGGTTTCGGGCGTGAGGTTTGAGGGTTTTCAGATTCTGTGTGTTTTTCAACCCTCGCGTCTCTTTGAGGATGTCCTCACGGGCATTCAGCTCACTGAGCTGGTAGTCGGAGATCTTGCCCGGCGAACACCCTGCGCATTGACGGAGCTTTCTCGCAACCCAGGCGAGGGTTTGCCAAAGTCGTACGGAGTGTCGCAGTTCCTACTACAACATCCAGCCTTTCTGGGGTTTCGACTCTCAGAATCGGGGATGAGGGACGTTCCCTGCCTCTGCAGATTTCTGGAAGAGCATGGGCTTTGTGGAGACATGGCTGGGTGGTCACGTGCGCTACAAGCACCGCCCAGCCTGCAAGCTGCACTTCTGCCCGGATGGCAGCCCCAGTATGCGCTCGTGCCTTTGGCTTCGGTTCATGTTGGGGCCAGTGGGCCGGCGAAGTGTCCTTGGGTCTAAGACTAAGAGTCTACCACAGCACCCGCCTCCCAGATGCCGCTGCGAAACATCCGCAGCTCCGCCAAGCTCCTGGCCAGCAGTTCGATTTCTTGGGCGGTGTCGTCGAAGTGAGCCGCTTTCGTTTCTCCGCGATTCCTCTGCCGTCCCGCAGAGTTTGTGTGGCACTCCACAATCGCATCCTGGCATCAGCGGAACTTGACCGTTCTTTAATTAGATTCTACGTGTTGAAACAGATGCTTGCTGAGCGATGGAGCGGGTTGTGGGCGTTTCTGCCAGGCAGATCTGAGGCTTCAGTGGTAGAGGTGTGGCAGTAGCATCTGCGGCTAACTGCGCTCAGATTTACACGACATGCCCAGCTGTTTTACTGTTATAGCTTTTTTTGTAGTCAAGCCCCAGGTGCAAACCCTGCGGATCCGCGCTCCGTGTGCCTGATCACCGGAGATCCGGGGGATGATCGGCCGCTGGACCGGGCTGTGAAAGACTCCTTATTAATGGGAGTTTCCGAAAATAGGGGACCCTAATATAGTACCCTAAATAGTAGGACCCTGATTATAAGGACCCCAAAATACCGTACCCCTAATTTTTGGAAACTCCCTTATCATGTTCTACCCAGGGCTTCGGCTTGGGGCTGAAAGCCTTGCCCCAAAACGTAGGACCCCCGACCTGAGAGGCCCCAATCCTCAACCTCTAAGTCGTAAGACCCCAAACCCTCAAATCCTCAACCTTGACATCCTAAACCCTAGGACCCCGAACCCTGAACTCTAAACCCTGAAACCCGAAAGCCATGACGCCCCAAAGCCAGAAAGCCCTGAGACCTAAACCGTGCATCTCGGCCTTTTCGGAGTCCAGACATACGTAGCGTAGGTCTGAGAGCTTGGCAGGAGTCGGACCTCTCCCTCCTGGTGGGGACTCATCCAGAGCCGCCGAACTTCTGGAGCCTCACGTACCACCTGAATCGCGACCTGCCTGCAACTTAGAGTGACAGTTTTTGAGGATTTGGTGTCTGTATGTGTGTAGGTGTACACTCGTTCTTGACGCTGAATTTACTTGAAGCTGGTCTTTTTATGATTCGCCGCATCGGGGAAACTGCATTCGTGTCGTCGAGGTCTCTACGCCCTGCGTCACGGCTACCGTTTTAGCCGCGTGGAAGTAAGCAACGATGAGGCGGCTTATCGTTCTTCGGTTGGATATTTCAAATATCCCTTGAGGATGAGAAGGGTAGGCAAGGATCTCTCTAGCTTTTCCGAGACTGGAAGAGGAAGATAAGCCTTCGTGAGAGTACAGGGAGCCGAGTCTCCCCTGCGGCCCAACAGATGGAGCGCATGCGGGCTGACGGCGTGCTGCCGGAGCGCAAAGTACAGTGGCTGATCGTCCGGTTGATCTCGACGAGGCTGCAGGACTGCCGCTCATGCCATGCCCCGTTACAAGTGCTAGGCCCTAGTAACCAGCGGGGTAGGAGCAGGTGGTGGAAGCAAAGTCTTTGCAGATGTCATGTGGAGGACAGGAGCTGCGAGCTGGTGGCCTGGATGGACAGCGACGCCTTCATCGTCTCCTCCGAGCCCCTGGAGGCACAGCAAAGACTGAGAGCAGTCTGAGGGCACTCTAAACAGAACCCTTGTGGGGTTAATACTCATGAGAATCACATGAACCATACGAAGAGTCATGAATTACCATGATAAGGATATAGTGTTGCTTGATTTTTAATCCTAGTGTGCGAGCCAGGAGCTGCTGGAAGGCCAGGGCTTCCCGGCAAACCACTCAAGGCAGGGCACGGGCAGCTGGAAGTGGAGACTTTGAAGGAAAGTGGGAGTTTCAGAAAATTAGGGTACCTTATTTGGGGGTCCTTATAATAGGGATCCTATTAATTAAGGTGCTATAATGGGGTCCCCTATTTTCGGAAACCCCCAAGTGTGCAGGGATCACAGACATGAATCGACGAAGCACTCCTGACATACCTGCCACCCCATGAAAGACCGCCGTTCTTCTTCTTCGCCTCGACTTCGGCGCCCTTTGGATACCGTTCAGAGGAAGTCATATGTGCAGCTGTCCGGAGACATCGGTCTTCACGTTTTGCACGGACTATTTGCCAAATCAGAGAAGCGAACATCATAATGCATCTGTTTGCCCGAGCTTCGTCATCTGCCAAGGACCAAGGAAATCGGCAAGCTGTCCATCAAAAGAATCAATATCTCCGACCACTTCATGGTGGGCCTTGCTCGGCTCATGGGGCCTTGCTCCGGCTGCCAGTACCCGGCGTCTTGAAATGGCCTGCGCAGGTCGTGCGCAACGGTCCAGTGTCACGAAAGATGATGCAGGAGTGGTGCCACAGCTGCAACTGGCCACCAAAAGGTTCGTCTGCCATGGCTAGGAGCTACTAGGCTGGTCGTGTCCTTGTGCTCAACCACACACGCTGAGACCACAGCCTAAGTCTTGCCTCATAAGACAAATTGTCCAGTGCCCTGCGACCGGTGCTTTAGTGTTATCGTACATGGAACACAATACCGTTCCTGGGCCGTTTTGACGGTCTCGGTGGGTAGAATGCAAAGCAGAGTCTGAGTCAATTCGCCCGATGCCGAAACACTGAACTAAGATTACGCAGGCGCAAAAAATCGCCAGCTCGAAGACACAGTAGCGGTAGTAGCAGTAGCAGTGGCAGAAGTAGTCGTCGCCGTCGTCGTACCAGTAGTAGGAGGAGATTTCTTTTTGGATTATCATCTTGTTGGTGTGAGAGATAACTCTCGGGGTAAGCACTCCGGGTATGCCCTGCTAAGCAGCACACTTTGGGGGAGTGCAGGAAACTCTCGGTGGGGGCGCTCCAGACAATACTTTGTGGATGCTCTTGATGGGTGGGCACTCCAGGGACATTCTCGGGTGGGCAGTGTGGGGATGATTTGCGGGATAATCTGGCTTTGGCATTCTTGGGCTCCAGGGATACTCTGTGGGACGCTCTGTGGGATACTTTGCAGCTGGGCACTGTAGGGGACTAGAGAATCTATAGAACTTGGCCGAGGAGCGGCGAGGAACGGGCAAGGAGAGTGGCTAACCCTTCACCGAGGGTGGGGAATAAGCAGGAACATCACGCTAATTACGACTAATCATGATAACGTTTGTCACAAGAATAGCAAGAAACTAGCAAGAGTCAAACGAAAGTTTAGCAATCCTCATAGTATCAAGACTAAGACAAGGTGGCGGCTGCCGCTGCAACACTCGGACTTGTCACGCTTTCGCAGTGAGCTTTTTCTAGAGCAGACGGCCACTTGGCTTTCGAAGGTATTTTTGCTTGTATAATTAATACCGATTAATGCCAATATAGATAGACATTCCCACTGCATCATGGTGTGTGTGTGTGTGTGTGCGTGTGCCTCATCACCACGCCAATAATCAATGGTTTTGGTTCTCGGAGGCAGGCTAGCATTTGGTTGCTTCACCTGCGCAGACTTGAGAGCCGTGGCTGATTCGACCAAGTATTCAACCGCTCTTGATTCATGGCAGTTGGGCCGTATGCACCTCAGGTGATGAACGAATATTTTCCGCGGCATCCAAAGTTGATGGCCAAGGCCGAAGATTTTGCATGTGCATGTGAGTACTCGTAGCATGTGAGAGCCAGCTGAATGCGACTCTTTCCCAGCCTGGCATTCCCAAAGTTTGTTAATTACACGTCACCATAATCACAATACATCAAGCAAGAGGCTGTCACCGCGAAGCCCTCCCCTCAAGCTGCGCAGGTCCCCTCCATCGAGCTGTTTGAAGGCTTCGGAGGCCTGGGTCACAGGAGGGGCGCCTCCTGAGTCGGTGCTGCCTTTCGCATAAGATGCCGCTGTAGGGTCCTGTTCAGGCCTCTTCGTCAGGCACATGGGAGGCATCAAAGACATGCTGTACCGGATCACCTTGAGGCAGGAAATGAAAAATTGCAGGGCCGTAGGGTTCAAGATCGGACCAGGGACGCCCTCGTCGCCCGCGTGCTGTCGCCTCTGACGGCACCCGGCTCCGGCTGGGCCCAAGCGCTGCGGCAGGACCCCGTGGCCAGGCTGGGTTGGAAGCCCCCACAAAAGTGCTGCTTGGGTGTTTCTGTGTGGGGACTGGAAGGCAGCTGCTTCAGTTGGCGGTGGATGCCGGATGGTGCAGCCGGTACGACTGCAATGACGAAAGCTGAGTCGAGTTGTGTCGTGTACCTCTTGGTGCAAGACCTTGCTTTCCAGCAAGCCGTAGATTCTCTTCTGGCGTGCCCCTTACCCCAGGCCCTTCCGCGCCTGCTCAAGGATAGTACTAGTAGGTGTTGAAAGTGTCCCATGCTCCCGAACCATAAAGATGACAATAAAACCAACTCGCCAGATCATCACAGTCATCGTTAACTTGTTCGTGGCTCATTACGGTGATGAGGCTTATGGCTATGCACGGGTGCCTCCACAGGGGTCATCAGGCTCATCTCGGGTGAATCTCCAACAAGCTCTGCAAGTTCCATGTAGCGCTGAGTACATGGAGTCCGGACAATGGCGGTTTTGCACTCAGAAGCCAGGGTGGACAACTTGCGTCGGAGCTTTGCACTTACAGATTTGCAGTTGCAGATTTGCAAGCGTAAGGCTGTTCCTTGGCAGAAGTCCTTCCTCCGTGTCACGGCCGGCCTGACCGCGGTGGGTATCTTCGTGGCAGCTCAGCTAGAAGCGGTTTGCAAGATGCGAGCGACAAAAGCATCTGCCCACCTGTGGGATCCGCGCATGTGTGCTCTGCGGTCTCGACACCGGCATCTGTTGTGGCCATGCTTGCCGTTGTTCTCGCTGTGCGTGTTTAGCCCGACAGATTTTCATTGGCGTCGCCGTCACCTACTCGCAGCCTGCAGGACAGCCCCGGAGAGCAAACCAAGCACAGGAATTACGGTGATGTGTCACAGCAGCCGTAAGAAGTGAACCCCGACTGCATGATATGATGCCAGGGCCTGATGCCGAATCACCTTCGACACTGTCAATCGCGGCCATACCGCACTTCGGCTGGTGAGTTGGGTCTGGAAAATTTGTATTTGCCAGTGTTTTGCACTGGACGTCATCATGAGGTTCATGACACTAGTGTTGTCAAAACAGCGTTGGGATCAGCGTCTGTGGAACAGCGCGTGGCGAAGCGCCTTCGTGCCCCCACACCTCAAATCATTTCAGGCAAGTCCGAGTCCGCAAGTCTGGTTGTTTTTGGAAGCAAATAGGGTTTTGCCAAGCGTTTGTTTCGAGCCTGAGTGGTGCCTTTGTCCTTCAGGATGGTTATGCTCGCAATATCGGACACGCCGTCCTGCTTTCAGGGTTTCATGTAGACTCTGCCGACGCAGACGCAACTGTCAGCTGACGGCTTGATTTCGAGATGCAGCTGAAGAATGCACCTGCAAATTTGAACGGACCGTGACTCATGTCACCACGATCTCACACATTTCTTTCTTTCGTGAGTAGCTTGGCTCTGTGGTGACGCTCTCCCTCGGAAAACAGACTCGGCGGTAGATTTGCGCCAGGCTCTGCTGGTGCTGTACCTGGGGGTGTTGGTGGAGCGGGAGGCAGGTTTGGGGAACTGTTCTTCGTTTTCAGGATTTCAGGAAGGATGCGTTTCGCTCAAAGGGTATGCGGTATGCGGTTCCCGCAAGAAGTAAGGAACCGTTCAGGAACCGAATCGTTGTGTTTCGTTGGGTGGTTTGGGTGGGGCAACTTTTTGCACACCGTGTTTCCGCAAACGCCGAAGGTGAGGATTGCTAGCTGCAGCAAGAGAACTAATTGGGCATCCTTTCCGGAGCACCATGCCAACCATACTTTAGCTTGTGTTTTGCTATAACGTGCTACTAGTACCAGGTATTTTGGTATTTTGTTACTACATTGTCTTGTCTCATGGTAGATTACACGGTGTTACATAGTAGATCTTAGCATGACATGGTATAGTAGAGCATAGTACGATGAAGTATGACATGACATGGTGTTATCTAGTTTTTCCCTTACTGAACAATCACGATCGGTTAGCTGCTGTGCTACATGCATATTCACTGTCTAAAAATCACCGACATATGTTGAAATGGTCTGTATATTGGAGTTGAATACTTACAGTGTTAGATCCTACACCAAGTACAAGATAAGTAAGTATGCCTGCATGCTATTCGAAGGACAGCTTAACACCACCTATCTACAGTTTGCAGCAGACGAACGCTGTATATATATATATATGATGCAGTTCGGGAAGCTATTACTTGATTATTTCGTGTTCATGAGTAATTGAATACGGCATGCTTGACTGACAATTCGGTACTGCTTGGAAACTGAACCGAGTAGAGGCATGCGCGTATGCATTGTGAGCCTTAGTTTACTGTGGGGATAGTAGCTACTGACCACCAGCTGGGTGAGAGATGCATACTTTACGCATATATACGAACCATAGCTAACCCTGCATCGCCTAGAAGTACCAGCTGTTTGAAAACCTTTATGAGAACAACATCTATGCAACAAAGCTGCGTCAAATTAAGCTCCCTCGGAATTTGCACTAGATCGAAAAGCCTCGCTTAAGCCCGCAAGACGTGATTACGCATTCGCAGCCATAGAAAGCATAACTATCATAATTCCTGCAAGATTCCAATATCCAATATTTTGGCGAAGATGCCAGAGCAAGTTTTGGATTGTTGGAATGTTGGAATTTGGGATGTTTGGATTTCCATGAGAATCGAAAAGAAATTCCAAAAGCCCAAACTTGGTTCTGGCATCTCCACAAAAATTGTTGTTGATCTTTTTGATTTTGCAGGAATGATATCCAATGGTACAGGGCAGCGTGCTACTTCCAAGTGAACACTATTTTGCTCTTTCGGTTCAAGACATTCGAAGGGCAAGCTACAAGGGAGGGTACTTACTTTAAAGTTGTGCTTTTGACCATGCATGTGAAAGTCAGAGACGTTCCCTTAAACCGAAACAGACATGTAGGCACATGGTTGCCTGGTTGGGGTACCATACATATAAATATAAGTGTATATATATACACATACATACATACATACGCATAACATATGCGCATGCACATTGGTTGACTTGTTGGGGGAGGGTTTTGTGCAAGCATGTCTTGTTTTGAGAGTTGAAGACCGTTTGTTAAATGGATAGGATTTGATTGTGTTTGTCGCGTTTCGCTGCAGACCGTCCTGGAGAAGCTTCCAAAGTTCACACCCTGCCGGATGACGATCGTAGTAGCGCGGAGCTTGCTTTCCGACCAGTTCATTCAGTTCACGTTGAGTTGCGAAAGATTAGAAGGTGCGACCAGAGCGCGTAGCAATGCAAGGAAGCATGGTTTTGCAGACACTTCCTAGGTCCTCCTCGTCCTGCTCTGTCCGGTGCGACATCTAGGTGGAAAGTGCTCCAGAACTAGAGTGAGCAACGCCGGTGGTGCTTGCTTCTCCGTGGTCGCCATGTTGTCCACGGCTTTCGCCCAGCAATCCTGCTGCAGTTTTCGCGCTGTTGCTGATCATTTGCGGGATGGGCCTGGTCTGGGCCTTGAGTACACTGAAGGGGGCAAACCAGCGTGCCTAGGGTTAATGCAGAGGCATGAGCACCCCTATGGTCGCAGCATCCCCAGGTGGTTTCAATTCTGGACAGTTTTGTGCGCCACCCGGAGGGTCGACCAAACAGCAGCCCTTACCAGTTGTACCAGTTGGGCCGTTTGCCAAACTGACACGTGATATGGTGCCTAGTGTACAAAGTGCCAGCGGGCTCTTCGACTCGACGAGGACCTCGGTACTTCCGCTCGCCTCGTCGTGGCCGCGGCGGGCGACGGCATCCTCTGCATCGTGCAAGGGGAGGTCAGCTGGCTTCGGGGCTTTCGTTATCATCGATGTGGTCTTCGTAGTTCGTAGGTTCGAGCTTTCTTTCGGATGTCAGGGTTTGTCTATAGTCAGTGATCAGAAAAGATCGACGCTCAAGAGGTCAGTGTTTGCATGCGGGATGACTGGAATTTAGGTAGTGGTGAGGTGTGCGCAGGCATTGCCCCAACACTTACGGCTTCGGGTTTTCGGGCTTTCCCGGCCAGGTCCTGAGAGAGGCCGGGGCAGCTGGAGATGTGCTGGCAGCATCTTGGCCGAGCAACACTTTGCCCTCAGTGTGTTGCTGCAACGGGGATCTGTTCCGTTGGTAGCTTCCTTCCGTTTTCTCGTGAAAGTCCTTGCGACGTGCGCTGGAAGCAGCACCTTCCCCTTCGCACTGGTCTAATTCAAGGCACAGTTTGGCCTCTTTCTTCTGGCTGGTGTGGGTGGCGGCTTCCTGCCTGGGTTGGCATTCGTGGCGGCACGAAGGCCGCCCCGCCTCTGACGTGGTCCATAGAGTTATCGGGTGCTGCCTGTGACTCGGCAGGAAGTTTCCAAAAGTCTGTCGCAATGCGGCGATTGGATATGCCGCCACCTGGCCTTGTGCATTCATAGAACACTCTGGCGCCCGTTCTCCTGTCACACTCTCGAGGCAATGGCTGTCCACTCTGCCGTGCTCCTGATGCAGGCAGCCCTGTCAGCGACGTGCTGCATTTCTTCGGATTCCTCCTGTACTGCCTTTGAGGCCATCGGCACCGAGATGCGCTTCTTCCTTGATGGTGGCGGCTACATCTTCGACAGTTTCGGCCTCGGAGCCGGTACCGTCAGGAGAGGGGAGCCGCCTTCCTTGGAGGCCCCCAGTGTCTCTACTCCACCATCGACTCCCCCCTGAGCCTGGCAGGGCTCTCGTTCTGCGAGTGGAGTAGTAGTCCGAGTCCTAAGCCGCGCGCCAGGTCTTGAACTTCTTGCAGTCTTTTGCAACCGCGGACGAGTGAGCCGAGATGGGGCGGGGGCAGGATTCCGCAAAGCAAAATCCACAACGGCCAAGACTTTGCGAGGTACCAGGGTCCGTCTGGTCCAGCAGCTCCCTGCCCGGAGGACGCTGAGTTTGTCAGCCCGTGTCTCAACTCCCAAGCCGGGCTTCGCTTAAGGCCTCCGAACACCCCACACACCCAAGGCAGCGACCCGTCTATCGTCCCGTTGGTGCAGATGCCTGCGACCCAGCACTCCCGAAGTCGTTGCATTTGATGTGATTCGCTTGTCCCCAGGCGGAGCTGCACGGAAATGCCTCTGATCGCACTGTTTTTCTTCCTCCTCCTTGGTGCGAGGGGCCCGGCATTGAGCTACGGGCTTTGGTCTGACAGGCCCAAACTTTGCAAAAATGGAGATGAAGGGAGTTTCGCGGTTTCTGGACAGGTGTTGAAGAGAGTGGGGCATTTTCAGGCGACCGTGCTTGCACGGAGAAGCTTGTATGCTGGCAGATGCTCAGTGGCAAAGTCCTTCTTAACGGTTTGGGCTTCACGACCCTTGGGTTCAGGGTCTAGTGAGTCTAGTGTAGGCTTGAGGTGGGGATCGGAATCCACGTTTGCGCTTTGTTCGATTCAGACTCCGGAGTGCACTTTGGCCAGTGTGGCCTCTTGTCAGGTCTCTGCACCGCATATATTGGACTCCTTTTCTTATGCTCAAGTACTGGGTATTTCGATGTTCGATCCCTTGCTCTCTTCGGGATCGACGTGCGAATCTCGCAGCATCTTCGTTGAAGCACGGCAGCGTGGATCTGACGCAAGCAAGATGGAAGCGCTTCCGACCAACCGCGAGGCCGGTTTAGGGGAGTTGCTTCCAGGGCATCGCTGGGACGAGCTGAGCAAGTTAAGGCACTGAAGAGTGTGGGACCGAAGTCCCGGGAGCCAGTTCAATTCGAGCAGCTGAAAGCAGCTTTGGTGAGTCAGAAGCTGGAGCAGACACTGTCACTGTGGCTGTGGATCTCTTGCCGCAGGGCACACGGATCAAGTCTGGCTACGAGGGCGAGGTCGGGCGTGGGCGCTTGGGATTTTCTGTAGACGAACGACTTTCAAGAACAGGGTGCAGATGCGCGGAGTTCGTGGGGAGCAGATTGCTCTGATTTCCTGCCTTTGTGCATCGCAAGACATGCGCTCCCCGCTCCGGCGCCCGCTTGTAATCAGCTGACAAGGTCTGTTTTGTGCTCTTGCTGTACTTGTAGTAGTGGTGGCGGAGATGCTAGTCGCGGCGGTGGTGGCAGCAATGTTCTTCGGATCTACCTCCCGGTTCGTACGAAGGGTTTACTGCATGCTCGTTTTCGCGTGTACCGGCTCGTTTCCGACGTTTCGTGTTTTTCGTCTGCGATAACCTGCGCGTCCCAAGGCGGTCTTCCTACTTTCCTGTAATCCGTCACCGGGGTTTGTCCTCCTTTGCAGGAGCCCGAGCACCCAGATGCCTCGGAGGCGGGCGTCTCTGAGTGAGGATGATCAGATGCCTCAGAGGGTCCCATGAACGCCTTGTTGGGAGACCATGGTCCGTCGCGTCACTGTGTGCAAAGGCAGTTGCCAGCATGCAGATGTACGTGGCGGTAGGTGTGGCCATGGTAGGCCGGGAAGCTCCGAAGCTCCTGCCCTGCCAATCACCCCACACCCCAGCCCCTCTCTCTTCGCTGAGTCATCTTGGGTCCTCTCTCCCAGGCCCCCCTAGGGGCCGAGGGGGCCTCGGATCCCAGCTGCTCCGCTCGGCTCCAGGAGCCGCCATGTTCGGCTTCGATCAGGGGAACTTCGGCAACGTGCAGGCAACGGACGGACTTCGCTAAGAGCGCTGCGATGTGTGGCACTTTGAAAGCAGGCCTTCGAGACCTTTCGGAAGGAGTGGTGCATCGGCAGGCACCAGCAATTGCATCTGCGCCGTCCCTGCAGACATTCTGGCTTGCGATCTGACAAGGTACGGCGACGAAGAGTCTTGTAGTGCAGAAGGGCTGGCATCTCAGTATCATCCGCGCAGGCCACCTAGGTCGAGAGCTCGTTGCTGTGCTGAAAGTCCCGTCGCTCGCAAGAAGGTCTTTGGACAATGATGCGTGGAATGATGGCTTCGTCACTTGGGGTGCTTCCGCCCTCCTGAGTCCAAGTGGCTACGTAGTTTGTATGCGAGCGGACACGTGCATCCATGCAGGTGCCACGCTCATCACTTTTGGTGCTGCCGCGGGCGCAATCCTTCTGGGACCTTCCCTGTGACTTGGATGCAGCTGTGGAATCCGAGACTCGCCATGCCCACAGCATCTCTTGTCTCCTATACTGAGGACCAACAGGCTGGGCCAGGACCTCAGATGTTTGATCCAGCAAGCGGCTCCGAGTCACGATGTTTCTTCTCGAGGTCGTCGTCCGTGCATTCAGATCGGTGGCTTCATATGTTGCTTGGAGTCTATGGGGAAGCATCCCGGGCGCTTGCGCCTCGCTCCTGGACTCATTCCACGTGAACTTGTCTACAGAGGCTTCTTGGGGTGCCTCATGGCGTCGTACCTTTCGAGCCATAGACGCTTGGCCAGACGAGTTCGTTTCTCCGGTGAGCGGATCGGATCGCATTGACGTAGTCTGACCTCATCCGTTGCCATAACCATGAGAGCCGGTGTATCCGTAAGGTATCTGGATGTTCTTCAGCGGACGCTTCATTACAGGCTCACCCCGACCTTGCTTGTACTTGCACTGGTGAAGCGATTTGTCACTTTGGTTTCCTTTCGTTAAGTTCCAGCATCAATATTGTTTCCAGTGTTCTTCTGCATTTTCCTCCTCCGCTTCCTCCTCTTCCTGCTCCTTCTCCTCCTCCTGCTGCTGCTGCTGCTGCTGCTGCTGCTGCTGCATGCGACCACAACGACGACAACGACGACTGCCCTTGCTACTGTTATCGCTACCGCTACTGCTGCCGCTACGACAACCAAAACTCCTGTGCTTTGGAACTTCGGGATTTGAGGCATGATGTCGCCATCAACAGTCAGATGGACAGGTGTTCTTGTTCCCAGTGTTGCATCCACTGTTGGGGGGGGGGTGCAAACAGCTGCAGGCTTCGGCGTCGGCGTGAGCTGCTTTGCGCTCCCACTTTACAACGCAGAGACGCCTGGACCAAGATTTGCCTGAAGCCTCTTGCAAATCATCATGTAGCCTGTATACTGTGCTCTTCAAACTGCCAAGCGCAGCAGCCGCTGCTACTGCTGCTCCCACTTCTTCTAGGATTCTAGCACTCCCACCATCTCCCACTCCTATTCCTCCTGCTACTGCTACTGCTTGAATCGATCCCCGAAAACATCGCCCAAGAGGTGTGCTGTTATCCCTAACCGTTGTGAGGCAGCTGGGGTGGAAGACGATTTAAGGACGGCAAGCTGTGCGGAGTTATTGATAGAGACTGTTCGCTCACCTTCACCAGAAAGCCTGCCGGTGCTGGCCCTTCTTCGCCCTTAAGGCTTACACTGCTTTTGGAGCATGAGGGTCTGCAACCTTGGACTGAGGATTTCCACCCCAGCCATCCGAGGCGCAGACTGCAAAGCAAGATTCTACAGACTCGCGGAGCAGTACGAAGCGCGGTAAAACGTCATGCCAGTCGTCAGTGTGTAGTGAAAGTGAACTCTGCCTGCAAGGTGCTACAGGTTCGCTGTTTCAGTTGCTCCTTGGCTCAGGGGGGAGTTCCTGGAGTGACAGGCGTGTCATGCTTCCCTTGCTGCGATACTGGCAGTGGAGCCCTTCCAGCATGGGCTGCGACTTCCGAGGAACGTAGTGGTTGGTTGCTTCATTTCTTGCTTGATCACCTTCTTAGACAAGGACAGGGACTTGGCAGTTCTGCGAGGGACCAAGACCAAGCCGGGTTCAAACCTGGAGCTAGCACGAGCACAAGCACGGAAAGAACGACTTGGCACCTGTCTTTTTCGACTTGTGCGGCGTTTCGTTCCTGGAGATGGCCGTCAGAAGTCAGTCACCACGGCTTCTACGATAATCGTGATTGCTGCGGCTATTGCCACCTCCTCCTGTTACACCAACTGCCCTCTCACGGTAGCTGTGACGTGCAGGACTGGTACACCGGCATGCTGCTGCCAGGGCTGGCCGGCGCTGTGCCCTTCGGCTGGTAACGAATCAGCATAGACTTGAATCGATTTTGCGGCACAGTCACGGCCCTTTGCAGCAGGCTCACGCTGGGCGGCTTCTTCATTCCTGAGTCTCCGCGCTTCGTTTCTCGTCCAAGCTTGCGACCAGTAATTAGTTGCAAGTCTTGGGGAAAGGAGGGATTCGGATCCCAAATGGAGCAATCTTGCTTCATAAGTTCTTTGGTGGTATAGCTCCTTTCATTCCTGTACCTGACTGCATGCCACGCCGTCGAAGCCACCTCAAGAAAGCTCGCATATTTCTTTCAGGTGGGTGGTTGTCAAAATCATGGTCCCTGTTTGAGTCCTTATTATAATACGGCACCCCAAAACCCTAAACCCTAAACCCTAAACCCGAAAAGGGACCATAATTTTGACAACTACCCAGGTCATGGAGAAGATGCTGCACAAGGAGTCCGAGGCCAAGGCCTATGCGGCCGGCACAAGGTGCCTCGTTCTCGGGATACTGGGGATATCTGGGGATCTCCGAGGCTATAAGAATTGTAGGGGTGCCATTTTTCCAATTTTTTTTGTTTCGGGGCTTGTCGTGGCCTGCTCGTGACAACCCTGTCAGTGAGACTCCTGCAGTATTCCTTGCTCTGGCTGCCATTTCTCTGCTTGCTGGTTAGGTACTTGAAGCGCATCTCGGGCAGCAGGAAGAGAGGGAGTTTCTCTACGAACTTAGAAGCCAGGGCATCAGCCCTTTCGAATTCATGAGGTGCTGTCCTTTATTAAGTAGAGGTCGCTCGACCTGTTTGGAGCAATTTCTAGGGCGTCCCCGGATCGGACACACGATTCTTGGCTCTGGTCTGGCTGTTTCTGAGGCATCCGCGCCGGCGATGTGACGGCGGAGGCAGATGAGACGCTCTGGCTTACAGTGGCTGACATATCTTTAGCGTACACTGGCATCGTGGGATGCGAGGAACGGTTAGACCGCTTGGTGTGAGCCCGAGTGCAGGCCAGTGCCAAACGTGGATTGACTTCCAATGGGTAACCGTTCGTGACGATGGGTTCGCTGTTTCGCTTCATGCAAAGCAGGATCGATTCGGATGCTTGAGATTGGGGCTGAGAGCTTGGAGGCTTGGAGGAACACCGATGCTGAAAGCATGGAGCACACCCGAAGCGCGAAAGCTGTGCACCGTAGTTTTAAATTCCCACGGATTGGTGACCTTCCTCTCAGGATCATGCAGCAGATCAAGGATGAGATGGACATCGAGCACGTCAGCTTCCTGGGGCTGTTTAAAGAGCGCCTCTCAGCTGCAGGGATGTTGTTCTCTTCGCGGGCATTCGAACCTGGGCCCGACCTGAACGGGCAGCTATTGCCACCCGGGACAATCTTGCAGTCTCTTTAATCAAGTCCTTACCTGCGTGCAACTGTTCGCACTTGCAGGCAACCTTCGCAAGCGCGTGTTCATTGCCTGCTTCTCGACTGCAAGACGGGGGTGGCCAGACGGTTCAAAGATCTCCCGGCTTTGGGTTTCGCAGAAGCGACATGGACTCAAAAGGTGGCTGACATATCTCTGAACCCAGGCTGCCTCGCCATTTGCCAGCAGGCCCCGTCAGTTCGGGGGCAGGGGGAAGGGAGGGGGCGTGCAGCAGGCTCTGTTCGTGGAAGGTTTGGGGTTTTTGAGACGTTAAAGAGGCCTTCTGCTCGGTGCCAGGCCACGGGCGTGAACGCCTTCCTTGGCTACGCGGCCACACTGTTCAAAGAGCCGCTAACCAAAATAAAGGAGAGCTCAGTTGCATCGGGTCTCTGAGGCTGAGCCTGGGGAAATAGCTCGGGGCCTACTTGATAGAAGTGTTGGGAAGATCAAGACCAAGATATCCGAATTCAGGGATGGCTCGGCTTTGCAGAACTCGCAGCGTGCGAGTGAGTGGAGACTGCGTTTTTTGACCGATGCTTGCTTCGATCACAGAACCAAGGTGCGGCATTGAAAGCCCAATCATGTTCAACTCCATTTTCAACAGCGCTCCTCAGCTGTGCAAAGAGCAGAGTGACTATCCGCAGCATGTGGTGAAGGCTTCTGCCTTTCCTGTTGTCCCCCAACGTCTTAGAGGAATTGTCGGGCTCTAGTGATAGCTACATCCACATGCATGTGTACACATTCTTGTAGATCAAATAGATATGAATGCAGCCATGCAGACAGACAGAGAGAAGATCCCTCCGCGGTCGTGATCGGCTATTTGTCCTTCTGAGATCATGATCTTCGGATGCATCGCCGGGCTGCTCCTCGTGGACTCCAAGTACGGCGGCCGGCGCTGTCAGCTGCTGGCGGTCCGAGCCTGGGGGAGTTTGTTGAGAGGGTCAGGCTGAAGGGTTGCACAAGCGGTTTGACCGGGTTCGGGTTGCAGGGTTTAGGGTTTTTGGGAGTTGGCTCTGGAGTTTTCGGGTTTGGGATTTTCGGGTTTAACAGCAAAAGGATTTGGGGAGTTTCAGAGGCGGTTCTCATGAACACAGGTGCCCTGTTTCTTGCTTTAGAGCTGGAGCTTGGAAACACGCCAGACCCCCACGACCCAAAAGCTGTGTGAGTTCTTTTCACGATCCTGAGAAAGTCTGAACGAGCGGAAGCTCAAGCCGAAGCTTCTTCAGACTGCTCCGAAGTCCCGCGAAACTGACAGCGAGCGAGGCCACGACCATCATGGGCCCTCCCTTGATTTTGGCCGGCCTGGCTCCGCGATTGCAGGGGGAAGTCGTGAAATCACCGGCGTGAGGCGGTTTGAGTTAGAGGGGGCATGCGGAGTTTCCGTGCCGAGGCGCGAAGGTGGAAGTGGGATGTTATGTGCTTGAGTCTGCTTGCAACTGAACCAGACCCCTGCTGCTGTGAGGCTTTGCAGTTCAGCTGGCCAGGTGCTGGGAGGGGTTTTGGGTCGTCAGGTGTTGGCCCCTTTCGCTCTGAAAACCGGCTGGAACTGCACCTCTTTACAGTAGCGGCAGCGCAAATCAGATGCTGTGAAGTCTTTTCTTCATGCTGCTGTTGGGCTAACAGCATTACAAATTTGCTGTTCTCTGAGCTCATGAGCCCGACATCATGATTTGTGCCAGGCATCATCACCATGGCCTGCGTCGTGATCTACGGTGTTGGCTTTCAGTTTGCCTGGGGGACCATCCCATGGATCTATCCTGCAGCCACTTTGCAGCAATGAAGATAGCATAAGAGCGAGATACCGAACATGGCAAGAACAAAACTGACAACAACAACAGCAACTGCATTCAGCAGAGCAGCAATAATAACTAACTACAGTGGCACCAACCATACTGATAGCACAAATACTAAGACGAGAGAATAGTCAGCGACAATGAGGAATAACGGCAACAATTATTACTGCTCACTGATGGTGCTACTGATAATCACCATCGCAGTCTTCTTCTGCTTATTCCTCGCCAGGGTCATCATCGCAGTAGTAGGTCGTAGTCGTGGTCACCAGAAGTTAATCAGACAACGACAATGGTGATGATCACCAGAACCAACACCAGCACCAGGACCAGCACCTGCACCAGCACCAGCAGAACCAGCCCCAGCCGGCACCAGCACCAGCAGCGCTGGTTCCAGCACCACAACTACCCCCAGCACCCACAGCACCTACAGCACCTGCAGCACCTGCAGCACCTGCAGCACCAGCAGCACCCCCAGCAAGAACACCGTCATCACCATCATCATCATCATCATCATCATCAGCATCATCACCATCACCATCACCATCATCATCACCGTCACCATCACCATCACCCTCATCATCGTCAGCGACAGCGGCAGCATCAGCATCAGCATCAGCATCGTCATCATAGTCTTCTTCTTCTTCATCATCATATCAGGTTCAGTGCGCGTGCTGTCTAACATAGAATACACAAGGATAAGCCGGAAGCCAGCTGGTTGGAGGGAGCGCGAAGGAACCTTAGACACGGATAACTCGAATGACAAAAAGGTCTTCAATGCCAGGGCTTGCTGCATTCAGGATCCCTGCAATCCGGAAGGCAGCGGAGCAAAGCCGGTTGCAGTCGAGAGGGTGTCGTTGCAGTCGGCATTAAGGAAATCTTCTCGATGGCAGAGAAGGACTCTCGGAGGGACACAGCTGTTCGATAGGTTATGTTGACAGAATTTTCAGTGGCCAGATCTCTGCATCCCGCAAGCACCACCTGGTGTTCAGGAGTCTGCGGTTTCTCTTGCAATTGGCTTCAACTACATCGCGAATGCTGCCCGGACGTTTAGCATTTGGCATGTGAGTCTACAGGCTTCGCTGCATCCCTCTGCGCTTTTCAGAAGCTGCCTACGAGCGTTGGAATCGCTTTTTTCGAAATGAGGCTGCCATTATCTACATCACCCCAGCTCTTATGCCGCATGCCCGCAAGTGTGCACTGGTTGTTTCAGAGCGGTGTCTTCGGAGGTTTGCAGACTGCGGATCAATGACTCCATTTGCTACTAATTACGCGCGAATGGTCGAGAGCTGCTGCAGGAAATGGTCCACCCCCGGGACTCTCCTCGTCTTCGGTGGCCTGAACGTCCTGCAACTTATCAGAAACGTCTTTCGTGCAAAGCAAGATTCACCTGTTCGCGATGCGAAAGGTTTCTGAACAGTATGCCCTGTGGTTGAGTTTAGCGGTTTAGAGGCAGCAATGGCGGCTTTCATGTTCTGCGACCTCTGCGAACATGCCCTCGCTTTCTAGCGGACACTCTCGAAACTGAATTGAGTTTTCGAGACACGATCTGATTTGCCCACGTGCTTTCCTCCTTGCATAGCTGCCACTGCTTGAATTGAGGCTGCCATTCTAATGAACACATGCGCGCAAACACAAACACACGGAGCTCAATTGGTTATTACATCGAACACGGCTTTTCCAGGATGAAACATGACTTCTAGTCTTTTTGTCTGCTTGCGTGCGAGCGGCGAAGATAGTGCATGGGAAGAGCTCAATGTCTGGCCCAGGAATTATTTCTTCGTTTTCCTCTACATCAAGGCTGGAAAGCATGCTGCCTTCTAGGATGAATGCAGCCCGAAGCCGAATCTACTAGCTGGTGGTGGTGGTGATGGTACTAGTACCTGTACCAGTACCAGTACTAGTACTAGTACTAGTACTAGTACCAACAGTAGTAGTAGTAGGAGGAGGCGGAGCAGGAGGTGGAGTGATAGTGGTAGGTCGCGGTGGCGGTGGCAGTGGCAGGGGCAGTGGTAGTGGCCGTGATAGTGGCAGTAGCAGTGATGATGGTAGCAGTAGCTGTTGCCGTGGTCGTAATTGCCGTCGTTGTCCTCGGGATCAGGTAAATCTGCATGCTTATGGCTACCAGATTGAGACTCTTGAAGCCCGAAGATCTCTGAAGCCTGCGATGCAGCCAGGAGACCAAGGGCGTGCCGCTCGAGGAGGCCCGAAAGCGGATCTAAGCTTTTGCCAGCTTGTGTCGCTTCTTAAGACGGCTCTCGTGTCTCAAGATTTGCGGAAAGCAAGGCTGATCTGTAAGCCTCTTCCCCTTTGCTTCTGACATCTTCTGACTGGGAGCTTGTGTTGTGCTTCTTTTGGGAGTTTGAGGCTTCAAGGACCGAGCCTCCGGGCTTTACTAATTACTATTGCAATGCTTGTGCCGGAACGCTACCAAGGGAGAAACGAGCACGCACAGTAGCAACGACAGCACTAATTACTGCTGCTGCTACTCTTACTGCTGCGCTACTCGTAGTTTCTACTTGTAGTTCTCCTACTACGACGACCATTTCTACTACACAGCCCTACGCAGTACTACATGTTTGTACCACCGCTACTACTGGTTCCACTAGTACTACTAGTACTACAAGTACTACTAGTGTGCTACTGCCTACAGCAATTTCGACGACAACAGCAACAACAACAACAATCACTACTACCACTACTCCTACTACTCCTCCTCCTCCTCCTGCTGCTGCTGCTACTGCTACTGCTGGTACTCGTACTAGTAGCAGTAGTCGTAGTAGTAGTAGTAGTAGTAGTAGTAGCAGTAGTAGTAAGCTTCGGAGCGTCTGGGGCTCGCTCCAGACTGTGAAGCAGGACGCAAACGCAGATTTATAGGATGGGGGGCCTCAACCCTAAGAACTTTATTATTCTGCAACCCCCAAACCTTAACATTGAACGAGCACAGCACTTCGATCAAGTGGTACACGAAGACAACGACTGCATTCTGACACAAGCAGCGCCCGTTAGCTGCAGTAGAAGAAGAAGGCGTAGCACAGCGGCTACTACTACTACTACTTCTTCTTCTGCTACTACTACTACTACTACTACTATTTCAATTGGACGCTGCGCGAGCGG